CAAACATAAGCTCATATAGTTACAGAAGACCCCAGGGAAAGATCGCAAAACAATCTACTTAGGCATTTTTTTAAAAAATAGGATTTTTCTCTGTGCCGCTTAGCTGATAGCTTTATTTCTGGTGCTGTTCCTAGCCCACATTCCGTTTCTGGTACAGAACAGAACTTGTTAACATGGTGGTGGTGGGGTGCCACGGGATATTTTTGATTACTCAGAAGTAACTCTCATGAAAGAAAAAGTAAGCATCCCCTGATTTCTGGCCACATTATTGTATATTGCTATACTCTGAAGGCTTGTCTGCTATAATGCACTCTACCTCGGTCTGTCCTCACAGGCCACGCAAACATCACTTGGTTCAAAATGCTTCCGTCAGTTTTCCCTTTTGGCTGGAGAAAGCTTCTTTGAACATATTAAACCAATTTTAAGACATTTCCATTGGTGGTCTAACTCTTCCTGGGCTTAACTCAGTGTGGGAGTTTTTAAAGCTTGTTACAACTTTAGACACATATACCTATGGGTGTGTCTCTCCATGTATGAAGCCGTGCACCAGTTGTGCTCCTCTCAGCAACACCTGTTGTTCCATCGCCAAGGGAAGCCAGAAGAGCCTCGGCTCTTCTATGAGCCCTTTCAGTAATAGTTCCAGTCATACAGAATGGCTTCCCATGAGAGGTTAGGAGTGTCTCAGCCACACCAGCCTGTAGGAAAGGCAGATGAAGCAGTCTCATTTAGTAGCACTCTCAGTTAGTGGCAGCTCCAGGGGCAGGAGGAAAATATAGTAATGAATAAATTCCTCTTGTCTGGCAGGCTGGCAACATACACAAATATTCATGGGAACCAAGAGTGCCATTGCAGTGCTCCTGATCACCATAGTTCTAGATGTGCTCTGTGTCTGAGTGTTCAGCCTCCATTAGTCACGCAGCCAAGAGTGGGATGTGGAAGCCCATATGATGGGGTTCCTGTGTCCCTGGGCAGGAGATGGGGCTCCCAGGCGAAGGAGGTGCCTGTGTTTCCCTGACGATGCCACCGCAACTCCTGGACTATAGAAAGCATTTCTCTTCAATATTTTGTCCAGTCATATGCACACTCTGGATACGGAAGAAATATTCCGAACTAGTGTGGACTCTTCTTTCATAGCCACAAAGCATTTTTACTCATTTAGATCCTGATCAGCAGGTAGGTGGGAGCAGTAAGGAAATTGTGCTGTTGTTCAGAGGGTATTAAGGGTAAAGTGGGGTTTTTTTTCCTTTGACTTGGAGAGAACATGTATTTGGGGGCATTTTTATCCCTTCCTTCCAAGGCTCAGAGCAGCTAGCAACAGATTAAGAACATAAACAGTCTAAAGCCAAAACACAATTCATTAAAATACTACTAGAACTCAGCCCATAACAAAAATCAATTCAGTATCATCATTGCCTGTGATCAGTAACTTTGGTCCTCCACTTTGATTTTTTTTAAAATGAAACCAGGTTGGTGTACTGGTTAGAGTTTCAGAGGAGGATCTGAGAGACCCAGATTCAAATCCTCACTCTGCCATGGAAGTTCACTGGGTAACCTTGGGCCAGTTACTTATCTTGTCCTTACCTACCTCACAGGGTAAAATGGAAGAGGGGAGAATAATGTTGTAAGCTGCCGTGGGTCCCCATTGGGGAGAAAAGTGAGGTGTAAGTATCTAAATAGATATCCAGGAAGATCCAGGTGTTACACGCCCTTCAAAATTATAACAGAGAGGGCATTAGGAAGGTTGTTCTGTAATTGTCAGGTGACATTCTGAAGCACATGACAGTTCACTGAAGCTAAGTAGATGAAGCAGCAACAAAAATTGATGAGCAAAATGAAGAGGGTGCACAGTTCTGTGACACATTTGAGAACTTTTGCTGAAGGATTGCTGGTTATCTCCCTTCCTGGTTTTATTTAGCACTCACAGCCTTGCTTAAGTCAGTCTACCTAGTTTTCTTGCTTTTTGATGGCCAAGTTTTCTCACTTTTTGATGGTTGTCTACCTTCAGCAGTGAAGGCACCAGTTAATTTTTATTAATGAATATAAAATATAATTTCAAGAAGTTTGAAACCTGTTTCAGTTGTCATTCAATTACTTTATCTTTTGTGGCATTTTACAGTTTGAACTTGTGATCAAATGGTACTAATGAATGTAGAGTTGAGGTTTTTTAAAAAACTGATTTTATCATATTGGTGTAATGACATAATCCTCTTAAACATTGGTGTTTCTACAGAAGATTTTTAACAAAATATTTTTTCAGTGTTGGGATCTTAGTTTTCCTAGTTTTGGGGATGCTTAATGGCATTGTGTTTGCCGTTACTTTAGAGAAATTCTTGGAAAGAATACAACTGAACCAACTAAGAAAAGGTAAGATGAATTTTTGAAAAAGAATATATTAACCTTTCTTGTTCTAACGTATCTTATGTGTAATTTTGAACAAGTCAAATGTCTGTATCTAAAAATAGCCAACATAAAAGCAAATACTGGTATAATTTCCCTTTTGTCTAAAAGTAAGTATGCTGATGTACTAAAATGCATGTCTGATTCCTCTGAATTACTATATATAAATGTCTAAAGCAATACAAATCTTGCCCTCTGTATAGAACTGTAAATATTGCCACAATTTGTTGTTGTTTTTTTAACCTCTAAACGTTAAAGACGATAAATGGAATGGCCCTCAAGGCCTACGTAAATACAATTAAGCAGCTGTCAAATGGCAGCCATCTTGAAACAATCTACTGGTTACATAATACAGCAAGAGTTAATGGGTCAGCAAATGCCCAGCCCAAATGGATGGAAGATATGGGTGGCACAGTCTGAGCAGAGCATTGTAATGGAATGCTTGAACTGCTTTCTAGATCATTCCGTTATAGATTATGTAATTGATTAGGATGTCGACACAGACATGCAGTGGCAAGCATCTTGGGTCTTCTTGCATGGAGCATATTAAGTCCAGTACCACCTGCACTGGGTTCCATTTTGGTTTGGGGCCCCAGTTCAAACTGCTGGTGCTGACCCCTTAAAGCACCAGTCAGCTTAGGATCAGGATATTTAAGGAACTGCCTACTATAATACCTACCAGTTTGCACTGTTCTTCACATGTGGTTCTCCTTGGTATCCCCCTGCAATTCAAGGTGAAGTGGGTATCTGCTTGGGAGAGGGCTTTTATGATAGAAGCTTCCAGGCTTTGGAACTTCCTTTGGTTGCCTCCATCTCTTCTGGCACATGACAAAGATGGTTCTGTTTTCAGGGTTTTCAGAAGGGCGTTATTTTGTTGATGCTGCTTTGTTTAATGCCTTTCTGTTGTTTTTTCCTTCTAGGTCTGCGGGTGGGATTTTTTTTTTTTTTTTGATGCAGCAGTTATCGTTTCTGTGCTATATCTTGTTAGCTGCATTGGGTGCCCTAGCAGCTTGGTGGGGAGGTAGAAAAGCTTTTAAATAAGTAAAAGTAGATATATGATCACCTTCCGTTTTGAACCCAAGAGTAAACTCGGCTTTGATATCTTGTTCTAGTGAGAAGCACCTGGAGTGTTTATTGACACACTGCATCAAAGTGCCAATGCTTGTTTTGGATCCTGCTTTGCCAAGCAATGTCACTGTTAAGGACCTGTCATCTGTCTATCCCCTCTTACGATCTGCCAGCAATATCTTCTCAGTTGCAAAGCCAAAAAATCCTTCTATCAACGTTACAGTAGTTGTTTTTGACAGTCCTAAAGAAGGTAAGAATCTGCTTTAGGCTTCTCTCAGTGAGACAAAAGCACTAAGGTTTTAGTGTAGTATAAGAACATTGTTTTAATTAATATTTTGGATTCTTTCATGTGGGGTTTCTTAATTGTTGTGAATATGGTTTCTTAATTGTTGTGAATATATATGTACAGCGATTAGGTGTCCAATCTTTATATGAAAAAATATCATTGCTTAATAAAAATATCTAGTTACACAGAGATTATTTGTCAGTTTGAAGGCCAGTTGGTTACAGTTGCTTAAATTCAGCAGAGAGTTAATTTTGAAGATGGGCAAGATGGGAGGTATCCTCTTGTTCTTAATTACGCACACTTATTTTTGCTTAGATGGGGGCCATTGGGTGCATTCTGTTTCCTCTCCCATAATTCAAATCAAAATGGTCCCTTGCAACATTTATCCGGAGGTGTGGGTGCTGGCATATGGTGATGCAAAGGCATCGATTGCTCTCTGTCTTTACACTCAGAGGTGCTAGTTGTATTTATTTTACCCTCTTCCAAGAAGGACTCTAAACTGCAGAGTACTAAGTCTTTTGATACATTTGATCCCATGTTTAAGGTATTACAAGGTACCCGTATAACTCAGTGGTGGAAATATAGCACTAGTGATGTTTACAGATATGAGAGGTTGTTTGAGCTCCTTTTATGTAGTCATGAATGCTACATATTAAAACTGAACTAAATTGTGACCCAGTATGGCGGTGGCATCAGCTACAGTATTCAGTTGGGTAATGGGAATCTTTGGTTCGTATCTTCCCTTCATTGTGAAGCTGACTACATATTCTTTGGCTGTTTTTCAACTGAGTACACCTCATTAGGTGGTTGTGAAGATACAGTGTGAGGACCTGAAGTCAGAAATATACAGATGGGGCAAATAAATTAAATAAATAATTTATTTATTCCCACTAATTATTAATACTAAGTATCAAATGCAGCATCTCTCGTTGTGCTGGTGACCAGTGGTGGGGCAGGGCAGCGGAACCGTTCACAATCTGCTCTCTTCAGGTTATTTCCACCATCTAAAGGATGATGCATTTTACAATTAAAATTGGCGTTAACCTGCTCTTGTGGTGTGGACTGGTACAATTACTGAAGTTGCTGCTGCACTCTGAAAATCTTTTTATTAGGGGAAAATCCTAATATTTCATATATTTCAAGGATATGTAAAATATTTAAAGTTTAAAAAAGAAAACAAAAACTTCACAGTGTATTGAAGTGCCAACCCGTGATTTGAATTTCTGCCTCTTCCAGCTGAGGATGCTCATTCTGGAATGTTAAAGGAGAGCAGCAAACAGGCCACGTGGAGGGGCTATTTGGTATGTATGAGGTCAGCTTTTTAGAATTCCCATTTTTTAAATCTCTGTGTCTGCTGGGATATCTTCTGCAATCTATGTCTGCTGGGATATCTTCTGCAATCAATGGGGTGCGAGACATTCCTGGATGAAGATGAAGTGATTGTGTTGCTAGGAGGTACGTTGTTGGCCTGGAATTAATAACTTTTACCAGACCCCCATCTTGCAACCACTGATTCTGTGCCATCTAGAGCACCGATATTTTAGTGTTTTGTACTGTATTGTTTTATTCTGTTTTTATCTGTTTTAACTTTGGCACTTGTGCCTCTTTGTTAGCCGCCCTGAGCCTTCGGGGAGGGCGGGATATAGAAAAATCTGCCTCCATTCCCAATGACTGGAAGGTAGCAACTATAACCCCTATCTACTACAGTTCTGCAGGGCCTGTAAAATGGAGCTGTTCTCTCAGGCTTTCAGCTGAGGTGGTGGACACCCAATTAGTTGCCCTCCCTGTTTAGAAGTTGCCCTGACTATTTTCCGTACACGGAGTCCTGGTATTATATGAGCTTGGTGTGACTCCAGTTAGCATCAGTCCAGCTTATAGGGGGTCTGAACTGTTATAATTGATTTGCCATCTTTTAACTGTTTAATGGTTTTAGCTGTTTTAATAATTAATTATATTACCTGGTTTTAATTGTTCATGCACTTTGTTGTTTTGGGAAGGGCGCGATATAAATTTAACTAATAAATAAACAAAGGTTCCAGAGGAGATATGGGAAATTACAGGCCAGTCAGCCTAACATCCATTCTGGATAGGTTAGTGGAATGCATTATTAAAGATAGAATTCTTAGGCACATAGATGAACAAAAGCTATTGAGGAAGAATCAGTATCAATTCTGTAAGGGAAGATTTTGTCTCACTAACCTTTAGAGTTCTTTGAGAGAGTGAACAAACGTGGACAAGGGTGACCCAGTACCTAGATTTACCTAGACTTCCAGAAAGCTTTTGATAAAGTTCCTCATCAATGACTCCTAAGTAAACTTATTATGGGATAAGAGGACAAGTCCACTTGTGGATTAAAAACTGGTTAATTAACAGGAACCAGAGAGTGAGTGTAGGTGGGCAATTTTCTCAGTGGAGGGTGGTAAGCAGTGGGGTACCGCAGGGATCAGTACTTGGTCCACTGCTTTTTAACTTGTTCATTAATGATTTGGAGATGGGAGTAAGCAGTGAAGTGGCTAAATTTGCGGATGATACAAAGTTGTTCAGGGTGGTGAAAACCAGTGAGGATTGTGAGGCACTCCAAGGGGATCTGTCAAGGATGGGCGAGTGGGCGTCAACATGGCAAATGGGGTTCAATGTGGCCAAGTGCAAGGTGATGCACATTGGAGCCAAAAATCCTAAATATAAATACACATTGATGGGGTCTGAACTGGCAGAGACTGAGCAAGAGAGAGATCTCAAGAGTCGTGGTAGATAACTCACTGAAAATGTCAACTCTTTGTACAACTGCAATAAGAAAGGCAAATGCTATGCTGCGGATTATTAGGAAGAGGATTGAAAACAAATCAGCCAGTATCATAATGCCCCTGTATAAATCTAGGGTGCAGCCTCATTTGGAATAGTGTGTATAGTTCTGGTCACTGCGCCTCAAAAAAGATATACCATTGGAAAAGGTGCAGAAAAGGGCAACTAGAATGATTAAGGGAATGGAACACCTTCCCTATGAAGAAAGGTTAAAGTGCTTAGGGCTCTTTAGCTTGGAGAAACAATGACTGAGGGGTGACATGTAGAGGTTTACAAAATTATGCATGAGATACAGAAGGTAAAGAAGTACTTTTCTCTCTCACAATACAAGGATTAGTGGGTACTCAGTGAAATTAATGAGCAGTAAGCTTAGAACAGATAAAAGGAAGTAGGTCTTCACCCAAAGAGTAATTAACATGTAGAATTCACTGCTGCAAGAAGTAGTGGTGGCTACAAGCATAGACAATTTCAAGAGGGGACTGTATAAACATGCGGAGCAGAGGTCCACCGGTGGCTATTAGCCACAAGGTATAGATGGAACACGCTGGGGTGGTGATGCTCTATTTTTTTGGTGCTTGGGGGGCCACAGTGGGAGGGCTTTTTGGAGTTCTGCCCCCACTGGTGGACCTCCTAATGGCACCTGAGTTTTGGCCACTGTGTGACAGAGTGTTGGACTGGATGAGCCATTGGCCTGATCCAATGTGTGTTATGTTCTTATGAATTCCTTTGATACTTCATTTATTTAGATTCTTTATATACTCCCAGACACTTGCTCGAGATGGCTCACAAAGTAAAAACAAATATAATAAAAATCATAAAAAGCTTCTATGGAGAATTTATGTCAATGCTGTGCTATAACAGCTTGTATTTAGCACTAAGAATGTGATAGGTTTTCCTTCTGGGGAATGGCCGATAAATAAATACTCATCCTTGCTTTAAAAAAGAAAAAAAAGTTATAGGATTGTTTTGTTTCTGCAGACTACAGACAAAGAAGTTCCTGGTTTGGTGCTAATGCAAGATTTGGCTTTCCTCAAAGGATTTCCACCAACCTTCAAAGAGACAAATCAACTAAAAGCTAAACTACCAGAAAACCTTTCTTCTAAAATAAAGATGGTAAGATTTTCAAGAGGGTGAAACAGAAACAAAGCATCTGCAGGCAAGCAGGGCAGCAGAATGGAGCAGAGAATCATGATTTTTGGCTTGTGTCTTCTGCTACAGATCACTGGGTTGCATCTTTTGTAAATCCATTTTATGAATGGTGGTGCCCTCCTCTGGTGCAAGAAGTGTTCCACTGATGCAACATGGTCTTCTCTTGGCAGGAAAGCCTCTTGCTTTCCTGCATAAGTAGGGGAGGCCCTTTGTGCTGGAAGAAAGCATCACCATTAGCAGAATGAAACTGTGGGATCTGTATAGGATCCGGCCCCCACGCCTCACTAGGAATAAGGGAAGGACTCCTATATTAACAAACAATAACCACCATGCCCAGCTCCAACACCTCCTTAGAGATGCACTCTTAAGATTTAATGGTAGCATAGCCAGCTAGGCACAAGAATTCAGCCTTGGAGATCAGTTACCCATCAATCAGACAGTATTTAAACAAGAAATAGTTTTATTTAGCACAGAACTAACACAGACAACAGGAAGTACTGAACACAAGAAAACACCTATGGCCCTCTGTGGCCCTTACTAAACATTAAAGATCTACATAATTACCAGGATGATCCCTAGGCAAGGATGTCCAAGTATACAGTCCATTGGAATAGTCCAAGTATCTTTAGAAACAACAGCTCCATTATGCAAGCACCTCGCCATGTGCTTCACATGGAGTCCTTTGTCTGAGGCCACATGGCTGAAGCCTCAGATAGACAGGCACAGATTCACATAACAGACAAGAAGCCAGAAAGTTCTGAGCTCTCTCTCTCTGGGTTAGACAATTTGAACTCCAATCCCATTATACGGCCCTGGCCAGTTAGCCAACCACATGAGACAGGTAATTTCCAAATATGGGGTTGTCATGGTAAATGGGTGGGGAAAGGTTGGGTCAGGGGATCATCCTCCTGCAGTAAGATGATCCCTGCTATGTGTGTAGTAGCATGTCAGCTATGCCTCTGGTCTTCTACCAGCAAAGGTTTATGATGGCAATTGAGCCCATTTGGCCTCTATAGGAAGTTAGCCCAACAGGGGGTAAGAGCAAAAGGCATTCCAAGGGGAAACATGATCCTACATAACATTCAAAGGGAGACATGAGGCCTACAGGAATTAATATTTCTATACAGGATCCAACCCACTATTGCTTTTTCCATCTTTCAAATTGAAAACATATTAAGCAGAGATTACTTGCTGCAGGTCTCCATATAAATACTCTCAAAGGGTGGTAAGTCCCCATTTGACTGGGATCACAAGAGCCACTTAAAGTATGCTGATGTTCTTGGGTAGGCTTAGTGGGATTTTTTAATATTTAGAAGAGCACTTTCATTTTGCACGGTCCCCTCATTTAAGAGTCAGTGTATCGTGCTGCAGTTCCATGGATCCTTGCTTTTGTCCCATTCTTAAGATGCCTCAGTCAGCTTTTGCTACGTCTACCCCCATTCTAGCCTTCTCTCCAATGCTTAAACCTTATGCTTCACACTATAGTCCATTTATGGTCCAAAGTGATAACTTTGCATGGAAATGGGTATTTGGCCACTAGGTGTTGCTGTGCTCTTATCAAATCTATGTTAATGCTTGCCTCCAAAGGTTTGCAAAGGTGACCTTGTGCATGCTGAGTTTCTGCTCTTCTTGGGCCAAGACGTATGATGTCTGAATTACCAACATAGGTTAGGCAGTGAATGAAGTAAGCTGTGTTGGTGTTGATGAAGCAAACTATGTGGCACATTCTTAAATTTTGCATAAAGTTGGAAAGTGCTTCCTGTTGTGGATTCAGGAAGCCCATAGTCTATCCAATGGTTTCCAGCCGGGAGAGCAATTCAGAACTAGCCTGTATCTAACTAGAGTGGAAATTGCCTGTTGCAAGTATAATATTTTAAAAAGAGGGCTTTCCATTTTAGTCTTTCTGAATTTGTCAGACTTATGACAAGGCTAAGCAGAGCTGAATATTGATTATTAAAGGCTTACAGAGTACACATGCGATGAGACTGGCTCTGAGCAGTACGAATGAGACCACATCCTTTTTTCCACAGCCATATTTAATTTGAGAGCTGAGCTGAAGCTTGTGGCAGTGATGTTATTTCTAGAAAACGTTACTTCTTTCTTCATTCATCGTGCGCATAGTGTGTGAAAACGTTGCACCCACCACCTTGGAGAGGAACACCTGTGTTAGGGATTTTAACGGGTGTGTACTCATGTTAGGTATCATTGATTTCCATGTACCAGTTGCACTCTTTTATTTGTTAACATTATTTATAGTCTACCTTTCTCACATAGACTTAAGTGGGATTACAGATAGTGAAAGTACAATCAGCAAAATGGGACATTTGATAACTAATGCATCTGGATATTAGAAGTCTGGAACCACCAGAAAGAAGCAGAAGCATGGCAGAAGTATTAACGTGACACATTAAGCAGTACAGAAATTACAAAATAGGATCCTTCTTATAGTACACTGTAGACAGCAGTAAAGACTATCAAGTCCCAATCATTTACCCAAGTAAGTTTGTGAAACCATTTTATACTGTGCAGCATTATTACCTGTGCAGAAAAGCCCTCTTTTTGCAGGAGGCCAAGGGAATGGGAGCTTTCCTGACCTTGGATTGGCTATTCCACAAAGTAGGAGCCACAGTGGAGAAAGTATGTGTATGAGCCGTTGATTTTGCCCATTTAGTCTGATGTGGCTCTGCTTTCAACGTCTCTGTTCAGATTGGTTGGGAATCTGTATTATGTCCGTCCCTAGATTGCAGCTGCTTTTTGTATTATCAAGTGTTGGATCCTGCCCACTTTTCCAATTGACTCTGTCAGCTCCCCTCCTCAGTGCAGGCCCCCCCCAATCTCCCAGACTGCTTTTGCCCATGTGGGTACCGCGATTTCCGTCACAACCTTCTTGGAGGCCACTTTTGCCAGCAGAAAATCTGGCAGGATCCAACTCCTTATTTTTATCTGTAATAATCTCCCAGATTTCTTTCACTAAGTATTGTACAGCCTCCTTAAGGGCAGGATCAAAATGTTGAGAGCGGCTATGAAGAAATGGGGCATAGGTAGGCCTACCCGTTCTACCTCCTGGCTCAGAGAAACACGGGTTGGTGTATGTATATGGTCCCAAACCTTGCAACCTTTAACCCATGTAAAATCCAGGAAGAGCAGTGCATTTCAAGCCCAGGGAAAGATGCTATGCAAAAATTACATCTGGTAAATGGACCCTACTATGTACAGGCTGAACACTAGAACCTTGTCCAAAGCAGCCTTGTGCAGCGACTGACATTGTAAGAGAATTTGATGGTTTTTGATTTTGTGTCTTCGGTTTAAGAAATAAATAAAGGCAACCTCTTTTAAGTATATTGGGGAGGACATTGATCGGGTTAGTATGTTTCCAGTGTGTTATTGTCTTTGATGTAAACTGTTTGTGTTGCCACACCAGGAAGGGTCATGGCATAGGCAGACTGCCAAGCTGTCCCCTTAAATCTGTTTCTTTGAAAGGTTCAGGAAAAGGGAGGGGGTAATAGATGGTTTGCAGCTGGAATTAGAATAGGAATACATCTGGTCAGTTGTCAGTAAAATGAATGGAATTGTTCAGAGCTAGGAAAGGGAAGAGGGGAGGTTTTCTCGGATAGTCCCAGAGGTAGAAGGAATTTTTCTCTGTTAAAAGAATATCCTACTCACTTAGATTGTACTAGATAGAACCTCAGCTGGATTCTGTAAAGAAGAACAGTTGAGAACTTCAGGTATTCAGGTTTTGAGCAAAATTATAGCAACTGCTTTGCCGAATCAAACCAAGTTCCATCTTGTCCAACAGTGTTGTATCTAATCGGAAACATGAGAGATGGGTACTAGTCACTTAAGCAGCAAAACCAGACAATGAAGGCGATTCTTCAGGTCTGCAGAAAAATATGATTTTTGTAATAAACACCTCCCCAAAGCACTGCAAATGTAGGGAGGCCTGAATACGCTCCCAAGAGGTACAAACTGAGGGCTGTTGAGAGTCAGTGAGGGGAAATCAATCTGTTCAAGCCTATGTGTTCTTGGGAGGGAGAGATTCTGTGAGGGGGAGCATGGGATTGGATTTCCAAATGGTTCTTCCTGCTCTGAAATTCCTTGTGAGCTCCTGGGTTGTTCTGTATTTACTGGTGGCTGGCCAGGTCATCCAGGTAACCAGGTCTGGAAGGTGACAGTCCACCCCTGTCAATTGTCCTAGCAACTCCCGTTCAAAGGTATACTGTCACTATGTGCAGAATTTACATTTAGTTCTCAGAGAGCTAACAGCTGATAGGTCTCTCTTCCACAATTGTGTAACTCTTGTTAATTATGCATAGTGTGGAGGACTTTGCTTTGTCCACCCTGAGCTCAGTGCCAGCTGGCATCATTGTGTGGGTCCTAGCAGAAGAACGCTGCTCCTCATAATGTTACAATCCCCTATCCTTATCTGTTTTAATTTTGTGACACCATTTTACTTTTTTAAACTTTTTTGGGGAGTTCCCCTCTGTGCCCACTGCTTGCACTTGACTTGGAGGGGGAAAATACTGACTTTTCTTCAAAGTCAGGAACAATTGCTCTAATAATTAGTGTTTCTCTAGAAGTGGGGAGCTGTGGTGGCTCAAGTGGTTAAGACGCTGAACTGCAGGCTGTGGAAGGTTGGTAGTTCAGCAGTTCGAGACCCGAGCTCCCGTCTCTAGTTCCAGCTCCTGCCAACCTAGCAGTTTGAAAGCAAGAAATTGCAAGTAGATAAATAGGTTCCACTTCAGTGGGAAGGTAACAGTGGTCCATGCGCCTTGGTGCACATGACCATGGAAAGCTCTTCGGCTTTGAAACGGAGATGAGCACCGCAACCCTAGAGTCAGATTTGACTGGCTTTCGAGCAAGGGAAACTTTACCTTTACCTAGAAGCGGGGAAGTTGAGACAAATGGAAATCCCCTGTCCTTAATATGCTGTTCTTGAATGGAATGGAAAGATCTTTAGATGATTACATAGGTGTGTGTGTGTGTACAGGGCTTTTTTTCCTGGGGGAATGCGCCAGAATGGCGTTCTGGAACCTCTTCAACAAAATTCTTTTTAAAATGTTTAAATGTTCATGAGTTTTCAGTATACAGGTTGAAAACGTCATTTCCCTCTTGAGAGTTCCAGCACCTCTTTTTTTTCCTTCAAAAAACACCCTGTGTGTGCGCGCGCGCATGTGCGTGTGTATAAGAGGATGAGCTGTGGAAGGGACAGCACGACATTGTACTACTACTGCTAAATAAATATGAGGCTGCCAATGGAAGCTTTGTAATCTCTAGCATGTCCACAGCATTATTTTTGGAGATTTCTTTGCTGCTCTCCGTAGCGCTACTTCAGCCCTAGCAGCCACCAAGGCCACTCTTTCTTCAGTTTGTCCAGATGATGCTCTTGAAGGACTGGGATTTATCAGATTTTTCTGATGAGTCATATTTAGAGCTATCAGGTAACACGTGAATTCATACCATCAGCAGCTTCAAAATGTCACAAGTGTGACAGCTGGGCTTCTGTTTGCTGTGGGGCGAACCGGATGAATATTGCCAAAAAGTAGACGGGAAAATTCAGTCTTTAAAATAATAAAAACGTTGTCTCGGGATTCATTTGCTTTTATAACTAGGCTGGGTTTTTTATCTGCCAGCACGTGGTTTGGCAGTTTTAAATGGTTTTTGTGAAAACCGAATTGGAGGACAAGGAGGCGCTTTGTATCAAGCCCTTTTGTCCCTTGCAGGGCCGAACTTGCCCTCAGTGATGTTTCAACATAGCAGATCTGATTGGTTGAGCAGTGGTGTTACATTGCTACGCTCACTTGAGTGATTCCCTGGTTGTCTGTGATCATGCAGTGAAGGAGGACAACCCTTGAAAAAAATGGTGGCAAGGCTGTAAAGAGCTAAAAACAAAAAAGTACGCTTGGGTTGAGGGTGGTATGCCCTCTACAGGTCAATATTTGTATTCACACATTTCTAATGTTCAGTGTAGTGCTAGTTTGGGGGGGGGGTGTTAATGCCATCAAGTCGCTTCTGACTTAGGATGACCATATGAATTAATGTCCTCCCAAACATTCTGTTGTTAGCAGCTGTCATGGCTCAGGTGGGGTGTCACCTGACGCTGCCGCCACTCTGGAATTAGGATCCCTTGAGAAGGCCCAGAGCACCCTCCCAAGACCTTCAGACCTCCCTTTTGGCCGAATAATAGGCATGAGGACCAGGCAGAGTAAACAACAAGGAAAAGGTTTATTTTATAGGAGGTCAAACAAGGTGCAGGAATAATAAAAGTAAGTGGGTGAAAAGAAAAGAAATCAAATGCCCTGACGTGTCTGAATATACTGTCCCTACAGTATGTTTCTTCCCCACAGCAGCCTCTTTCTTCTGGCCCTGTTTCCTGAGAAGAAGAACAGCTTTTCCTCTTGTACCAGTTCTTTTAATTCCCAGCCCTCTTCTTCCCTGTTGGTCAAAATCAGTGCCAAAACTTCCCAAGGCCTTCTGGGGTTTGTAGGCCCAGCCTCCCCTACTGCTAGCCAGGCTCCCTGGGCCAAGTAGGCCTCTGGTGGCACAGCCCAGATCATGACAGCAGCCTTGCTCTGATCTTGCAAACTGATGGCCGTGGCTTCCTTGACTGAGTCAATCCATCTCATGGTTGGCCTTCCTCTTTTCCCCGCTGCCTTCAACTTTTACATACAAGGAATCAAACAGCAAAAGGTGGTTCTATGTGCTGATTAACAATTATTCAGTGTCTTTAGTGTGTGGATGGCAATATTGCTTTGGACATTATAATATATAGGGAGCTGTCACTGCCCCTGTTCTTCCCACTGTTGCTGCCGTATCTCTTTCCTCTCCCTTTCCTGCGCCTTTGTAATCCCCATTTAGCAAGTCCATGGGTGGGAAGAAGGGGAGCCAAGCCCCCTATGTATTAATCTCTCTGCTGAACAAGTGGTTATATAATCCATCTTCTTCCTTTTCTGTTGGGAAAGACTTTGCCGACCTGAAAAATTAGCAGTGGCCGAGCATAGCCTAACTCAAACAGGGCACAGTATCTTATTTCAAGGCACTGAAATGCTGGACAACACATCCAATTACCATGTCAGATTACACAGGGAAACCATTTAAGTTCATAAACACAAACACAATTTCAACAGGAAGGACGAGAGTTTAAAAATAAATAGGGCATGGTTTCCAGTCCTGAAAAACACAAAATGCTCTACATCTCACAACAGCACTACAGATAAGTTTAGAATTTCAACAGCCAATCTATGTGCAAAAGAACCTCCTCAGGAAAGCTCCATTAGCATGTCACAGCCTGGGAAACGCCTACAAGATAATGACTCAGCCCTACCCCACCTTCCTAAGTAGATATAAATTACCTGCCTACCATTTTTCTTCTCACCTTGACACAGAGAGTACTCCATCTTTCTGTGTTATACCTCTGAGGATGCCAGTCACAGCCGCTGGCGAAAGGTACTACAATGCCAAGACCATGGCCATACAGCCCAGAAAATCTACAACAAACTAATGTTAAGTGCAACTTTTAAAAAAACCGAAACACTTGATCACCATAAATCCATTTAAAATGTAACTTTTCCCTGAGTGGAAAAATGCCCGTGCCTTGCACTTTACAAGCCGTGTGTGCTGTTAGAATTTCTGCTGAGGATAAACTTCTTTTCATCTTGCCCATTATGAAAGCCGATATATAGAATAACTGGTGACAGGCGATAAAAATAGCAGGCAGATCAAACAGTTCCCCAGTAACAAATGACCTTAGCTGTGGATTGTAAATCTTGGCTGAGGACTCAAGAGAAGAGCCACAAATGGATTCATTCTGAAAGCTTTTTGTGTCTCAGATTTCTAGATGTCTGGTTGATCTTTTAAACCTGGCCTAAAACTGCATTGGCTGCGGATGCATGGCTAAACTGGCCACCTTTTGCAAACTTCATTTCAGAATATGGCATGGTATCTTAAATTGAATGTGCTGTAACTCTTTACTCAAGGAGAGCCAGTGTGGTATAGTACTTAAGAGTGCTGGACAATGATCTGGGTCTGGGAGACCCAGCTTCAAATCACCTCTCTGCTGTGCAGCCTTACAAGGTAACCTTGGGCCACTGACACACTCTCAGCTTAATTTATCTCACAGGGTTATTGCGGGGATAAAATGGAGGAGAGAAGAATGACGTACGCCACCTTGGGTCCCCATTGTTAAGTTAATGAACGAACTAAATAAAAACTTACAGGATCCTGAAGCGTTAAAAAACAGCAAATGCAAAAATCAGCTGGATACTCTTAGTCCTTGGGTTGCCTTATAAAGGATTTCCAGTGACTTCTTTGTGCCCAGATTTAAAGAATGAGAGCTGAAACTGACTTAATTGAGACAAATTATGGGAAAACATTGGTCAGTTTCTGGCCCATTCTGTACCAGGAGGTTAGGGATGTCCTGGAGCAAGCAGGAAGCTGTCATCTTCTAAAGAGAGCCCTTGTGGTATCATTGAGAGTGTTTTGATGGACTTGAGGAGGCCTGGTTTCAAATTCTGCTTTGCCATGAAAGTCTCCGGGTGACCAGTTTTGATACCTCAGGCTACCTTTCTTTGAAGAATTTTTATAAGGTTAAAAATGTCAGGTGTTTTTTAAAATAAACAATTGTTTAAATAAATAAATTGTTTAAATATACAATACTGTGAAAGAGACTAGAGGTCAGAAACACAATACAGCAAGCTAGATCAGCAGAAGAGAAGATCAAAAACTGGCAGCAAAAAATGGATACAAACCTGTTAAAACTGCGGAAATCGGCATATTTAAAAGGCAGCTGGTGACAACTCGCTCATTTTAAAGTGTGAATGAATATAAAGGACTTAATCTTGGTGCAGAATGTTGGTAATTCACAGATCTGTTTGGGTTTGTGAAGTGCTATGAGATGCCGATATAGGGAAACAAATTATTTATTGTATGGAATGTTATAAAGAAAAGGAAAATGTGAGGTGATGAATGTGGGGCTTTTGTATTGTGCGTTTGTATTTAGTAAATTTCTGTATTTATAAGATATTTTTTTTAAAAAAAATACATCTGTTTGGCAAAAAGGGTATTATTCATGTTGGATGCCACCACCAAAAAGCCCTTCTCCTTAGTCTCCCCCATCTGCTTCATTTCTGAAGATGGGGTGGGGGGCAGCCTTTGGAGCAATTTTCAGCAGGGAAGGGAGTTCATATGCGAAGGAGTGCTTTGAGCCTGTCATTCAGAGCTACTGGAGGAAGGGGTGTAGTGATGGTAGTAATATGAATGGGGCAGTAAGTAAACCAAAACCACAACCGCTGCCCACCTTGGAATCCTCTGGATTATGCTTTGCAAATCATATTATGTATCTGTTTCTGTGAAAAACACTCCAGTCTATTAGGCTTAGTTTACCTTTTAATAAGAACCAGTTTGGTGTAGTGGTTAAGTGTACGGACTCTAATCTGTGAGAACCGGGTTGGATTCCCCACTCCTCTACTTGCAGCTGCTGGATGACCTTGGGCAAGCCATAGTTCTGGCACAGCTGTCCTTGAAAGAGCAGTTTATGCCAGAGCTCTCTCAGCCCCACCTACCTCACAGGGTGTCTGTTGTGGGGAGGGGAAGGGAAAGGAGTTTGTAAGCTGCTCTGAGACTCCGAGTGAAGGGTGGGGTATAAATTCAATCTCTCTTCTTCTCTTCAATGCTTCACTGCATGGCAATACTTCTATGTTGATTTCTGCTGATTTACCTTTCCACTTTCTCTTTGCTGTGGTATGTTGCAAAACTGATGAATCAAGCAAGGAGGGGGAAAGTTCATTTGTAGATCCATGCCAGGGATTGAAAGTTTTTATTTCTTTGTATAGTTGCAGCTTTATTCAGAAGCCAGTGTAGCTCTCTTTCAACTCAATAACGCTAAGGATTTCCAAGAGCTGAACAAACAAGCGAAGAAGAACATGACCATAGATGGCAAAGAACTGACACTCAATCCTGCATATTTATTATGGGATCTCAGTGCCATCAGCCAGGTAGGCAGTGTTCTCTAATGTACGGAGAGGCAATTGGGGTAAAACTTGACTCTTTAAATAACTGATGGTGATGAATAAATTTTACAGCATAATGTACAGGATGGATAGTAGTTCAGTCATCAGTACTGCCTAATGTAAAGAGATAAGTAAATGGATTTCACAGAGTGCATACTATGCATGCATAGGCATGAATTTCATTATCACTATCAATTGAAGAAGTTTGGTGTAATGGTTCGGAGTGTGGATTCTAATTCTGGGAAAACTGGGTTTGATTCCACACTCCTCCACATGCAACTGCTGGGTGACCTTGGGTCAGTCACACGTTCTCTTGGAGCTGTTCTCTCACGAGCAGTTCTCAAAGAGCTCTTTCAGCCCCACCTACCTCACAGGGTGTCTGTTGTGGGGAGAGGAAGGGAAGGAGACTATAAACTGCTCTGAGACTCCAAGTGAAGGGCAGGGTATAAATCCAACTCTTCTTCTTCCTCTTCTTTAATGGTTGTAAGTCGAGATGACTAATTTATTTTCAGAAGAATTAAGGAGCTATTTGTTCCTGTATTTTACTTGAGGAGGCAGCTTATAGGCCCGCACACACACATGCACACTTTCACACAATCACTCCTTGGTATTCTGTTTTGGAGTCCATTCACCTAACACAGCTTTCCCATCAAGGAATATATTGCTAGGAAAATGGGTTGTGGGAATGGTGTGGATTTGGAAACTGGACGATATGTTGTTCCTCAGAGGGGTTTCTGCATTTAGATAACTTGTGTCTCTGGAAATGTTTCCATGCAACAGTATCAGCTCAGTGGACTATCATGAAGGGATAGGGGTAGGAATGATCCCTAGAGTAATCCCATTATTAATGTTTAGTGGCTGGTGGTTTTGTTTTCTTTTTTCGGAATAGGCTCTCAAACCCAGCTCTGTGAACACATTATTTAGAGTTTAAAAAGGATTAGTAGGGCTCTCCCGGGCAGATATATATGGTATATCATCACTTCTAAGGCATGTTTTGGTACGCAAGAATATATCTTAAAACCTTGTTAATTCAGTGTGCCTTTTGTCCTGTGCACAGAAAAACCAGCCACAAAGGTTTGTTCTTCCCCAAGGACACAGGTTGGAAAGCCTCTGCCCTCCTAGTGTCAAAATAAATGTATGTACCACATTCCATGGGGCCGCGGTGGCTCAGAGGTTAAGACGCTGAGCTGCAGACTGGAAGGTCGGTAGCTTGGCAGTTTGAGACCCGAGTGCCGCGTGATGGAGTGAGCTCCCGTCTCTGGCCCCAGGTCCTGCCTACATAGCTGTTCGAAAGCAAGAAATTGCAAGTAGATAAATAGGTACCGCTTCAGTGGGAAGGTAACAGCATTCTGTGTGCCTCGGTGTTTAGTCATATTGGCCACATGAATGGCCACATGACCATGGAAACATCTTCGGAAAGCGCTGACTCTTTGGCTTGGAAACAGAGATGAGCACCACCCCTTAGAGTTGGATTCGACTAGCTTTTGAGCAAGGGAAACATTTACCTTTTACCACATTCCAAACAGGCCATAGATATGTTTGTACATGAGTTTCCCCCCCTGCTCTGAGGTTATCTGTGAAAAAGTCCTTATGTTCATAATTGGAATAATGTGGAATTTGCTTCTGGGCTCAGTTCAAGTCCTCTACTGCTTGGGGCCAGTGTACCTTAAGGGCCTTGTACTCCCATATGAACCTAACTTCAGAGGTCCAGCATCAGGTGTCCCCACCATCTGGTTTTGGACAGGTGGCAAGTAAAGAAAGGGCCTTCTCGCTCATCATGGCACAAAACCTTTGGAACTCCCTCCCCAGAGAGATTCATCTAACTCACTCCATTGTCTTCTATCAGCAAGTGAAGACTTTTTTTGTCTCGTTCAGCATTTCCTCACTAACTCTTATTAGCCTTCATTCCTGTTTGTGTTTATATGTTTTATTTAATTGTTTTAAACATTTTATATCTGTGTTCTAAACATTGTTTTAATGTATGAAATGTTTTAATATATGCTGTTTTGAGGAGCCTGAGTTGGGTGGAAAGTTGGCATAGAAATGGTTATAATAATAATAATAATAATATAATATAATATAATATAATAATAATAGTTTTAACTAAATTTATGGTGTTGTTCTGTCATTGATAAGTGTAGCGCATGTTGCTGTTTCTTATTTACAGTACCACACCAGGGCAGGGTCTGCTCTGACAGGTTCTGAGATTGTTCTCTTCTGAGATGTTTTTCCAAGTAATAAAGTCAAGGCAACAAAAAGATATACCAAACCCACACAGTAATGACCAGAGCAATGATTTGAACTTGGATATATAATATAATATAATATAACATAACATAACATAACATAACATAACATAACATAACATAACATAACATAATAATATAATATAATATAATATAATAATAATAATATTAACTAAATTTATGGTGTTGTTCTGTCATTGATAAGTGTAGCGCATGTTGCTGTTTCTTATAGTCGAAGCAGGATGAAGATATTTCCGCCAGTCGTTTTGAAGACAACGAAGAACTACGATATTCACTGCGTTCCATAGAGAGGCATGCACCATGGGTGCGGCACATTTTCATAGTTACGAATGGGCAGATTCCTTCCTGGCTTAATTTGGATAATCCTCGGATAACAATCATAACACATCAGGTAAAAACTTTCTGAAACATCCACTCTGCCCTTGGGTGACTGAAACAAATATTTATACTGAGTTGATGGGGAGAAACGTTTTCCATGCAAGAGCTGCAACTGATTTACTTTTGTCTGTTTGTAAAAACACATTTATTTTCTTTTGATTTTTAAACTGCTGCCTTCCAGCGTAACTGAGATTGCAGCCGTTTCCCCTTTTTTCTGATTCTAACCTGAATTCATCAGCAGTAGGATTTTTGAAAACAAACTTATTAAGTACATTTTCAGTGTTGGACCATACTGTATTTCTCAAGGCCTTTGAAATTAAATCTAATTAACAATTGCAAAAGTAATTCAAAGCTTCCTGTAAAACTATTTTGGTGGCATTGTTTTGTAGGAAAATAGTTTAAAATGCCTTTTCCAAAAGCAATGAGAAGTATAATCTAGCTCCTAGTAAAACCTAGTTCTTTGTTGCACTTTTTCCTTGGGGAACATTCATTGCTTTGTTTTGTTTTTGAATGCTAGAAAATACTGGTATCAGAAAGAGCACATGTGGAGGACATGTAAATGGAGCCAATGCTGTTCCATTCCAGTTAAATGTGTTGTGGATCTGCAACAAAAGAGCGCTGCAGGGAAAAGGGATGACACAGGGTCATATAGCATTTCCAAAGAAAAGGACCCCAAGGGAGAGAGACCTAATGAAAAGTAAAGGTTGGGGTATTGATCCCCATCATACCAAATTAATATGCTTCAGAGTGGGTGCATGCATATATGTGACATGAGGAGACATGTGATTCGCTGTGGGCTAGATTAGCACTCTGCCTTTTGGTCTAACAGAGAACCAAAACTGAGCTGGGGATATAATGGAAGGATTTTGCAAAATGCTTCATGCATTCTGGTAGGAAGGTCTGCCTCTCACTTTGAGATCTGCCTTCCCAAATGGCATTGATGCAGCTTAAACATTGCCTACCGGCACATGTGGTATCTGATAGCCTTAAAAATTTATTGTGCATGCTTATCTTTCTGCTTATTCATTCGTTCAGACAAAAATTGTTTTTTGTACAGTATGTAGAAAATTAAGAGATCGTCTTTAAATGATGTTTGGAAAGTGACTTGAAGCCTGTCATAAGATTATCATTAAGCCTGACTCTCTTCTTAACGTTACCATTCTAGGAAATATTTCAGAATGTGAGCCACTTGCCTACCTTCAGTTCTCCTGCCATTGAAAGCCACATTCACCACATCCCAGGCCTGTCCCAGAAGTTCATTTATCTAAATGACGATGTGATGTTTGGGAAGGACGTCTGGCCTGATGACTTCTTCAGTCACTCCAAAGGTCAAAAGGTAAAGTCACCACTAAATAATAGGAGTCCTCCAGTTGCTCTGCCTCCTGAGTACAGCAAAGAAGCTGCTTCCCATTAAATTTGAACATGACAGAGATGGCAAGTGTGAGAAGGGTTCTATTTATTTGTTCAAATTTATAGCCCACCCTCCCCGCAACGGGCTCAGGGCGGCTCACAAATAGGGCAACATGTGCCAATAGTTAAAACACAAATAGGGCAAAAAATGCCAATAGTTAATCAATAAAACAAGATAAAACCAACATTTAAAACAGCATAAAGGGCTTCAATCGCAAGATGGTATCCTGGGGATGGTAGTCCCAATTCCATGGCATCCCGGGAATGTTAGACTCAATTCAGTGGTATGGTTTCATGTGATATTATAATATCTTTCAGTGTGTTGTGTTCATTCATTTATTCATTCAAATTCCAGGGGCAATCCCCCCGCCTCGGAAACCAGAGCACTTAAAACATTAGTTCAGGCTGTAGAGAGAGTTGAAAACCCACCTCTGTAAACAAGTAATCTTTATGGTACCTCTTAAAGCACAAAGTGCATGTGTTGAAATGAGCAGTTAGTTAAGGATTTAATTATGATTTTCTGCTTGAATTCTGGTGTGTGTGTTTGTTTTGTGCTGTGCAGTTGCTTTTGACTTATGGTGGCCCTATGAATGAATTACCTCCACAGCACCCGATCCTTAACAGCCTTGCTCAGGTCTTGCAAACTGAAGGCCCTCGTGGCTTCCTTCTTTTCTGAATTAACCTATCTCATGTCGAGTCTTCCTCTTCTGCCACCTAAGTACAGAAGACATACATATTTCTAAGAACTGCTTCAAGCCTTGCAACTAGAGAGCATTTAGAACATTAAAGCCACACCTCTAGGGCAACTGGTTTGTGGCTGTATGAAACAGGATGACCGAATTCAGACTGGCAGTTTGAAGTGGGAGGGAGTCGTGGCAAAAAAGACCCAGAACAAACTGTTCTGGATTTTCCCGTTCACACTGCAGCGACTGATGCGGGAGCATACCAGGAGGAGGCGAAAGGGAGCATTCACACTGTTGGCCCGGAGGCACGGCTCTAAGGCGCGGCTTTCTTTTTGGTAGTTTGGAGATATGCGCTTATGCACATAAGCGCTCGTGCGCATAAGCGCATAAGAAAAACGTGGCTTTCGGCGTTCACACTTTGTTGGTGCGGGATGGACACGGGATAATTGCGCTTTCCAGGGTTTGCAGGGCTTAGGGCTCTTTAGCTTGGAGAAAAGACGACTGAGGGATGACATGATTGAGGTTTATAAGATTATGCATGGGAAAGAGCAGGTGGAGAAAGAGGTACTTTTCTCCCTTTCTCACAATACAAGAACTCGTGGACACTCCATGAAATTGCTGAGCGGTCGGGTTAGAACGGATAAAAGGAAGTACTTCTTCACCCAAAGAGTGATTAACACTTGGAATTCACTGTCACAGGAAGTGGTGGCGGCTACAAGCATGGACGGCTTCAAAAGGGAATTAGATAAGCATATGGAGCAGAGGTCCATCAGTGGCTATTAGCCACAAGGTATAGATAGGGGCTCTGAGGCAAGTGATGCTTTGTCTTCTTGATGCTTGGGGGGGGGGTCAACAGTGGGAGGGCTTCTAATGTCCTGGCCCCACTGGTGGACCTCCTGATGGCACTGGTATTTCTGGCCACTGTGTGATACAGAGTGTTCGACTGGATGGGCCTTTGGCCTGATCCAACATTGGCATCTCTTATGTTCTTACGATACCACTTTCACCTGGAATCTTTTAAACTCGGAAGCGTTATGAGACGGGTTGAGTACGGCTGGGGAACACCAGACAGTTGTGCCTGTGTGAACGGCCCCTTTAATTCGGTTGTGGAATGTTTCTGAAAAGTGCCTATATCAGGGCAAACTGCCAGTCTGAACTCGACAGATGTTGGACCAGATGGATCACTGGTGTGATCCAGGAGGGCTCCTTTTATGTTCTTCATTACGCTTGCACATACCCTTAAGGATAACGTGATATGATGTATTTTGTACTTCTCTACCAGAACCATAAGATGTGGCTCTTCCTTGGTCTTCCTGCTTATTGAACTCTATCATGAATACTGATGCATTATCTGGTATTTCAAGCTTGAGAAGACAGCATGGCCATGTGAAAATTACTTGTATCATATATCACATTTGAACATTAACATCACATTGAAGTAATCCATAGAATCAGTCCAGCAAGCAGAACAGAAAGGAATTTAATGTCTCTGTTTCCTCTTTTGTGCATTCACAGATTGATGTCACCCACACGGCGTGGCTAAAAAAGAGATAAATGCTGGGGTGCTTATTTGAATAAAGGAATGTTGCACACTGTTCCTACATTAGAATGGCATAAACTAAATACGTTTGATAACAAAAAGAAGACGATAGAGTATCAATTTATTAAATGCTGTAGCAGGTTAAAATACTTGGAAGTGCAGATGGTCAGATATAACTGCAAGTTAGTTTAGAATGAACAACATGGGTTCACCCACTCTGGGAGACAATTGAGGCAGAATTTAAAATAACTAAAACAAAGTAAGTCACCGTTCTGGTCTGCAGGAACTTCAGGTCAGTTGCTTTACACATTTCAATTTCTTCTGAGAGTTCAAAAGTTGGGAGGCCCTGGTTTTCTCATAGCTTTTCTTTGTGCTCTGGAGAAATTATTTGCCCGGATGAAGATCTGAATAAATAATTCAGTTCCTGAGTGCGAGAACAATGTGTTTTTGTCTCCTCTCAACAGGTGTATTTGACTTGGCCAGTGCCAAACTGTGCTGAGGGATGTCCCGGTTCATGGATTAAGGACGGCTACTGCGATAAAGCCTGTAATAATTCTGCTTGTGATTGGGATGGAGGGGATTGCATTGGTAAGAAAAGGGACACTTTGAAAGATGGCCTGTTCAATGTAAGAAATTTGCTAACTGGTAGGCTATTGTGTAGATGTAAAAGAATATTTTTCCTTTCTAGGATGCATCGTCTTTGTCGACAGGGAATACAAAGGGGCCACTTGCCTTCACAAGATTCTTTGTATCTTGAGGAGTTATATCATATCTGATTATGCTTTACATGAATAGATATTATTATTGGTGTTGATGATGTTGTTGTTGTTTTCAATTATAGTATGCCTTTCTCTTTGGGATTCAAGGTGGATTAAAAGTATGATAAAAAACTTTTAGTGATCAGATTACAAAATGTTAGATTAAATGTTATCATAGCAAAGATTACCAGTAAGACAAAATAGTGCAGTTAGTTGACCAGCCCATGCAAACATGTCTGTTTAAGGCACCAAGGCAATAAGTGTAGGAAAAACTTTATCCCTAATAAGTCACTTCCTGGTCTGATCCATTACACCACAGCTTTGCCTCTCTCTACAAGAATTATCCTCTTGAACAACTCTGTTTTGTGCATTTAATGAAATGATAGAAGTGGACATAGCAGGAGAGGAAGTCCTGCAGGTATGTGGATGTAACGACTTTTAAGGGCTGTGTAGGTGATAGAACCTTAAATTGAACCTGGAAACTGATCAGTACCCAATGGAGTATCTTCAGAAAGGGAGTGATTTGCATATTCAGCTTGGTACCTGATAGCCAGGCCATAGCATTCTGTACCAGTTGTAGTCTCCAGGTTGCCTATAAGGGCAGACCTACATATAGTGCACTACAGTAGTCTAGCCTTGCAGTAATCATAGCATGGCTCTGTGTGGTCAGATAAACTGAGTGTAGGTAGGGGGCCATTTCCTAAGTCAAATGGAGTTGGTAGAATGCCACCTTCTGCAGCTGCATCAGCTTACCCTCTCCAGCAATAAAGCCGGATCAGGTATCATCCCTAGGCTCTTAACCAAGTCAGTGACGGTCAGCTGGACCCCCATTCAAAAGCAGGGAGCACCATGTCCTTCAGGACCTCAACCTTCACAACCAGCATTACCTCTGTCTTGTTAGGATTCAGTTTTGTTTTGTTCACACAGCCATTCAACTACAGACAGTGGTTCAGGGTAACAACTGTGTCACTGGCAATTTGGATAAAGAAATATAGTACTGGGTGTTGCCAGCATGTTGATAGCACCGTGCTCCAAAACCATGAATGGCTTCTTCAAAGGACTTTACATAGGGATGGAATAGGTTGGGGGACAAGACTGGGACTTGTTGGAACCCTATGCGGCCGGTTTCACACCATAGAAAACTTGTCTCCAACAGTAACCTCCTTGAGTCCTGCCCCTATGGAACGATTTGAACCAATCAAAAACATATCTCTTAATCCTTACTTCTAATTCCAAGCAGATGGTCAGCTTCTCTCATTTGAATATATTCTTCTCCCATAATTTTTGAGGTAGCTGTTTTGGTGATGACTGATGGGCGTTATTATTGTCATAATTTTGGTCTGATTCTCTCCCCCCCCCCCCCCCCGTTCTGGTGTTGTTGGTGTTGTATTGTTACTTAGGTTATTGCTAAGGCCAAACTTCTCTGCCTTCTTGAGAGTGGATCTGAAAGACAACTTTATAGTTTTGCTCTTAGTTCAGTTATAATTTATGACAGTGTGATGTAAAGTGAAATGTTCCCACAACCTTAGGAATGCTTGTTTTTTCCTACTTTAAGCTATCCTTTCATTTAAACATTTTAAAAAGTAGTAGTAGATTAAAAACCATGGGGTGGATCCTTACCACGTTTTCTGCTGTGAGAGATGCTGTGAGAGATTTTCACTGATTCCACCCTTCCTTACAGACTCTCACTTTGTCCCCAAGGGCCCTGTCAGCCTCAAAGGATCCTGGGACCCTCAGAGTAATAATTTTTAGGGAAGGGAGGGAGGGGTGAGAAAGTTCACTTGAGGGAGCACAGCCCTGTTCATAATAGAGAATCCAAGCCAATGCCAGGATCAGATATCGGAAAGCGAATTCGGCTAGGTCCTCACATCTAACTTGTCTACTCTAGTCTTTTAAAGGTTCTCTGTTTTCCTCTTTCTTGTTTAGGCAGCCATGTGGGCAACCGGTATGGTGGTGGTGCTGGCGCTGGTGTAGGAGTAGGGAACGTTCCGCCCTGGCAGTTTGGTGGAGGAATAAGTGGTGTTTCTTACTGTAACCAAGGCTGTGCGAATTCCTGGCTGGCTGATAAATTCTGTGATCAAGCTTGCAATGTCCTTTCCTGTGGGTTTGATGCTGGTGACTGCGGACAAGGTAATGTCAACATGTGTCCTTTTTAGTAGAATGTCTTTGTTACTTTTTAATGTATATTTCATGCATTCTTTTCATCTGGGTGTATGCAAGCACAGTAGCTCAGTTTAGCTGTCCTCTGATCATGTTTGTTTATCAATAGAGACTTGTGAAGTTTGTTTTCATGGGTTTGCGTACACATTAATCCAGTAAATAACATGTGAAGGGTATTTCTTTGGAGAAAAGGGAAATTAATGGTCAGGGAAGTCCACTATCATTCTGATGGACTAGTCCCTCTAAACTGTTCTCTGCTGCTGATCTAGTCCATGTCATGCTGATTTTCCTAGCAGCAGTTAAAGAATAGCGTGAAGAGAGGTAAAATGTTAGGGGGTCTTTTCTACGATTTCTGCCTTTTTGCTCTTCGTTTCCATTTCCCCATTTGCTTGTGGTGTAAACAAACTTAGGTGAAAGGGTGCAACAGAGCAAAGAAATGTGAGCTGGAGGGTGAAGGTTGTGCCTTGCTGATGCATTTAACTTTCTTTGACTGCAGAATGCACATTGGTTTTGTTCCATTGTATGTTTAGTCTTAAGTGAGCTCTTCAGGAAGTGCCAGTTCGTCACGTGTGTGTGTGTGTGTGTGAAACTTTGTATAACCCACCTTGAAACGTGGGGGTAGGGTGGGCTACTTTTAAATTAGTAGTTCCCATTCCTATACCTTTTATCTGATCATTGCCATATGAATAATATAAATAAAAAGAAGTATTTCTCTGTTCTTCCAGATCACTTAGATGAGTTGTACAAAGTGACCCTTCAGAAGAATGTGACTCACTATGTCATTCCAAAAGGTGAAAACCTACCTTACTTCAGCTTTGCTGAAATAGCCAAGAAAGGCCTTGAGGGTGCCTATAGCGATAACCCAATAATCCGTCACGCTTCTATTGCTAACAAATGGAAGACAATCCACTTGATAATGCACAGTGGGATGAATGCAACTGTGATCCATTTTAATCTCACATTTCAAAATAAAGAGGACAAAGAGTTTAGGATGCAGGTAACACTGGAGGTTGATACAAGAGAGGGACCAAAAATGAACGTCACTTCCAGCCGGAAGCCTGAAGATAATGTGAAAACTACAACAGCAGCGCCAGAAGTGGAAATGATATTTGAGGATATCCCCGAGGAAGAACGTTTCCCAAGAATTAAAAAACGTCCAAATGGCACAGTGGAGAGTTTGGATAGAGGCATAGTGATTCCACAAGTTGACATGTCCGTCCTTCCTGAAGACGTGAGGCTAGCTCTGCAGAACTTAGATTTGCAGCTGGAAGGGGGGGACATCACCCAGAAAGGGTACAACCTGTCAAAGGCTGCTCTTCTGAAGCCCTTCCAGTTGTTGCTCACAATGGCAGGAAACAATTTCCAGAACACAAGGAGGAGGGAAACGTACATTGGCTTAGGAGCTCGGAAATATCTCACAACCAGGCGCAACTCTTACAAAAGCAATGAAGTTGGCAAAACAGACATTGAAAGAAAAAGGCATGAAGTGCTTCCACTGGGACCTCTTGGTAGCACTCTTGTGGCAATGAAGGTGAACAGCTATTTCCCTCTAAAACACAGCTCAGTGATAAAATCGGAGCTTATACCTGTCGTCCAGAATGTGGGTGAAAAAAATGAGTCTCGGGAGAAAATCCTTAATGTTTCCCAGCAGAATGAGACTCAAAAGCCAAAAGAAATTACAAAAGAGAAAGTGGCAGAAGAAAAGAAAGAAAAATGGGATGTCGATCGAGCACGTGCCGAGGAAGGTACAGCAGGAAGTCGAGCCGTACCAGGAAGGAAGCTACAGTATTACGCTGGAAATTACCCAGGCTTTTTGCCCTGGGAGAAGCATAAATATTTCCAGGATCTTCTTGATGTGAGTGTCTCAGAGAACTGGGGTAGTGTTGAGAGAAGAATGTATTAAAGTAATTTTGAAGAGCTAATGCCACGCAGTAGCTAACAGGACACCACTCGTTCAAATTTCACTTTATGGCACAAGTTGACTAGGTAGAGAGGATGTATATATTAGACAAGCAACTAACGTAAATTAATAGGTAGCCTTGATGATAGCCTCTTGTGGCTTTACCACCTCCCCAATATTGGGAGAGGATAATATGGACCTACCTCACAGGATTGTTATAGGGACTGCTTAGAAGAACATGGAGATGAGTCCTTGACCCCTCAAAAGAACTGTATTAATGATGACAATGATTGCAAATACACCTCTGTGAAATTGATAACATGGCTTAGTTCAGGAGTAATGTTTATATTTTTCATTGCCTGTTTTAGGCCTTAAACCTAAATTAAAAAGTAGGGAATCCTAGTGCATCTATGACAGGTGAATGAGGTTTGACAAGTCTTGGTAACCTTGCTGTAGCCGACATATAACTGGACTAGGGTCATAGTTTAATTACTGAATCACAAGATACAGACCAAAAATAGTGTCTGCTATTAAGGCACCTACAGTGCCATCCTATGCAAAGTTACCCTCTTCTAAGCCATTGAGCTTCTCAGTTTAGGATGGCACTGCTAGGAGAGGAAGACATAGATTACAAGTGTAAACTAATTTGGCTACTGTTCATAAATTTTTAAAATCAGGAGGGCAGTTTGGAAGAGGCTGTTGTTAATTGTTTCTGGAATTACATTCAAAGGGCAGTTAAAATTCAGAACTCAACTTTTAGTTGGCTTCCTACTTTAAATCTTGCTAAACGAAAAGTCACAAGATGACTAAGGTGTAAACTTCCAAGCCTTAGATAGATTGGGACTAATGTGTCTAAACAGAAAGTTTCTGCATTCGGATTTTTTTAAAAAATATGATATAATGGCAGTCACATTTAGTTGTCACATTTCACTTGCAAATGCAATACATTTTTATTTTACATTATCAGATTTCTAGTCCACCCTCCCCTGCTTAGCAGGGCTCAGGGCAGATTGCAACAGTAATTATAAACAATAATTATATCATAATTTGAACTGTTAAAAACATAATTCAATTAATAATTTTATTTGTTTATTTATTAAATTTCTACCCCGCCCTCCCGCCGAAGCGACTCAGGGCGGCTTACAAACCATTTAAAACCAACATACAGTTAAAACCAACGATTACAAAATACAATTCCATAAAATCCCAGCTAATACATCCTGTGATAAAGTGCTAGTTCTGCAGGGCCTGTAAGACGGAGCTCTTCCGCCAGGCTTTTGAGTAGGGGCCGCCACCATCACTATACCATCACCGTACCACCACCACTAAATGGAGTGGGTGTCATCGGGGAACGAGACAGCCCTGGGAGGAAGGATGGATCGTTGTACCATCTGGAGTCTATCGTGTCGCTCTGGGACCACTTTGTTATGTGTGACCCCATCTGTTATTGTGACATCTAGAGCACTTGTATTTTATTTATTTATTTATTTAGATTTCTATCTATAGGAATGATCATTTTATTTGTGTTTTATTCTGTTTTTAACTGTTGAATTTTGGCATATGTGCCCTTCTGTTAGCCGCCCTGAGCCCATCTGGGGAGGGTGGGGTATAAATTTACCAATAAATAAATAAATAAATAGTGCGACACCACCGGCATAGTCAGTTCTATTGAAATGCTTGGTGGAATAGCTCCGTTTTAACTGCTCTATGGAACTGCTGGTGGTCTAGTAGAGCTCTGATCTTCTGAGGGAGCTCGTTCCACAGTGTTGGCGTCGCCAGGGAGAATGCCCTGGTCCTAGTTACCGCTAACCTAGCGTCCCTAGGCCCGGGGGGGGGGGCAGACGGTTTTGTGTTCCCGATCGCAGTGCCCTTGGGGGAACATATGGGGAAAGGCGGTCCCTCAGGTATGCAGGCCCCAGACCATTAAGGGCTTTAAAGGTCAAAACCAGCACCTTGAAGCGAATCCGGAACGCTATTGGAAGCCAGTGCAAGAACTTCAGCACAGGCTGGATGTGCTCCCACCTGGGGAGGCCCATCAACAGCCTGGCCGCCACGTTCTGTACCAGCTGCAGCTTCCGGAGTTGCTCCAAGGGCAGCCCCATGTAGAGAGCATTGCAGTAGTCTAGCCTCGAGGTGACCATAGCATGGATCACTGATTCCAGATCATTGCGTTCGAGGAAGGGGACCAACTGCCTAATCAGCCGAAGATGGTAAAAGGCTGCCTTGGCACGGGCTGCTACCTGGGCCTCCATTGTCAGGGAAGGATCCAGGAGCACTCCCAAACTCCTGACCCTCGGCGCTGGCACCAACGGCGCCCCACCGAAGGGCGGAAGTGGGGCCCCTAACCCCGGCTACAGCAAACAAGGTGGTGATCAAACATAATTTATAGATCTCAGAGAACTGTCTGTATGAGTGCTCGATGTAAACCAAATGGTCAGTAGTCGTATTGATTGGGGTTTTGTGGCATATTTTCTTAGTAATTGATAGCAAATTATATTAGAGTTCTTATGCCGTATTCCATCCAAGTACAATTTTAGGCCTCCAGAGTCTTTAAATGGTTATATGAAGTAGGCATCTTTTAAAACTAGTCTTTCACATCTGGTAGTAATGAAAACAACTGACATTTTGTGATTAACGTAAGCATGAACTGCCTATGTATGCTTCCTCCCCCACTCCCTCCAGGAAGAAGAGGCATTAAAGAAGGAGATGGCTTACTTTACAGATAGTAAACTGATTGGGAGGCAGCTGAAAGACACATTTGCTGATTCTCTCAGATATGTAAATAAACTTCTGAACAGCAAATTTGGATTCACATCTCGGAAAGTCCCTGCTCACATGCCTCATATGATTGACCGAAAAGTGATGCAAGAATTACAGGATTTGTGAGTCTTAACTTTTATTAAAGGAGCAAATAACCAAGTACAGATGTAATATCTTGCTGCTTGTCAAAAGTGTTGTTTGAACTGTGGATAAAGTTGGACTTACTTCGACACCCCTAAAATTTCTTGACTGGAAAAGTGAACATGTCAGGGAGAACAGTGTGCTAAAACTGTCTTTCTGACTTCTAGTTTTCTATATGCTGTGGATTTTTGGGGACACGAGCAGTGTTTAATCATGAGAATCCCTCCCTGTGGTATCAGGTGATAATTCCAAAAACAGATTTCTCTTCTCATCTGTTGTTTGTGAGAACTAGACTTTTGCCTTATAATAATAAGTAGAGAAGAAGAAGAAGAGATTGGATGTATACCCCACCCTTCACTCAGAGTGGCTTACAAACTCCTTTCCCTTCCCCTCCCCACAACAGACACCCTGTGAGGTAGGTGAGGCTGAGAGCTCTGACAGAAACTGCTCTTTCAAGAACAGCTCTGACAGAACTATGGCTTGCCCAAGGTCATCCAGCAGCTGCAAGTGGGGGAGTGGGGAATCAAACCTGGTATTCTCTTTTAAAGAAATACTTTAAAACACTCTTGTCTGCAATCACTACTGGATATCCTAAGGGCTAGCAGACGTTTGCCAACTATTGTGTCCAAAGCCCTGTCCCCTAGATCCCCTATGGGAGGTGCCCCCACTTGCTGTTTCTCTGCTCCTCTGGTACCCTCCCTAACCCTCTGGTACCCTTCCACTTAGAACATTCGTTGAATCTACAGAGAGGAGTTCTAGTCTCCATGCCTCAAAGCTTCAGTCAGATTGGGTTCTTGAATGCATATTCAAGCCAGACTTGAATGCATATTCAAGTCTAGGGATTTGGTACACGTTAGACAGTCATCTCTTAGGATGAAGATCTAGGTCCAATAAAAATTGTTTTACTGGATTGTCTGGCAAGTCTTGGGCAAATTATGCTTTAAAGTAAATAATCAGTTTTTCAGACATTTAAATTATAGGAAAACTGCCTGTCTTAGTTAACATCAGCATCTCCTACTTTGGGATGACTTTATTGTGAAGGGGCTGTTTTCCCAAAGGGTGTCACCCCACACATCCAGTTGCATTCAGCATCCAATGATCTATAGTGTAGGTTAATTTATTTCATCAGTTTATCCAGACTGTAAAACAGACTGAGTTTACTCTCTTCCTTTCTGGACAGATTTCCTGAGGAATTTGACAAAACTTCATTTCACAAAGTACGCCACTCTGAAGATATGCAGTTTGCCTTTTCGTATTTCTACTATCTCATGAGTGCAGTTCAGCCACTGAACGTTTCCCAGGTTTTTGATGAAGTTGATACGGATATGTCTGGAATTTTATCTGACAGGGAGATACGGACATTGGCCACGAGAATTCATGAATTACCTTTAAGCTTGCAGGTACTTTTTTTTTAATATATCCAGAAAACTTCATCTCCAGTGTTTACTTTCCATTTACTTTTTTCTTTTGTACTTACAAAAGAAAAAAGTAAATGGAAAGTAAACACTGGAGATGTTCAGTAATGATATTAATAACACTATGGTATTAATAACATTATTGCTGGGTTCAGAAGTCATGGAGAAACAGAGGTTGTTTGAGACCTAACCTCCTGTGTGATCTCTCTCTCTCTCCTTACTCCCCTCTGTGCTCAGAATGTGAAGACTTCCAGCCTTTGGAAGTTTCCTGTCAAACTCCAGTTTGTTGTGATGTTCAAATATAGGCACTTGGACAAATTAGAGTTTATTTTCTTCTCCACAAACCAGAGTTCTAAACCACTGGTTTTTGGGGGAGCAAACTCACTCCACTTAGTCCAGATGTCTGCATTCACAAATCACAGGAAACGGGGGATAGTTCAGAGACTTCCTAAACTAGGAGTCATTGGCTGTAGTCACACACACACACACACATTCAATCCACTTTCCAACTGGATTTTGCCAGTTCACACAGTAAAACCCAGTCGGAAAGTGCACTGAGTGGATTATTTAGTGTGTGTGACTGCAGCCTTCATTTGTAATTTATATGCAAGAGATGGTGTTAGGAAGGCAGTGAGAAAGTGTGACAGCACACTGAATTCAAACATCACAAACAGGTGTGGAATGTCTGAGTTAAAACTTGAGAGGTATAAGGAAGATTCAGGTGGGTAGCCATGTTGATCTGAAGCAATAGAACAAAGTTTGAGTCCAGTGGCACCTTTAAGACCAACAAAGTTTAATTCTGGGTTTAAGCTTTTGTGTGCATGCACACTTCCTCAGATACAGTCTTCCTCAAGCCTTACGTATAGGGAGAGAGAGGGTGGGGCGTAGTTGCCAGGCGGGGCTAGTTAGAGTCAAGATGCATAAGTAACTGAGTATAGTTAAGTATAGCTAAGCTTGGATTAAAGCAATTGGTAAGACCTGTGAATAGCAGCAAATTAGCATACAAATAAAAGAGTTAACAGCAGATGTGAGAACTAAATTTTAATCCAGTGGCAAGTTCTCCAGCTGTGATAGTAGGTTTTTTAGGCATAATAAAGGGTATTCATAAGAGTTGTGTTTCTGTGGAACAGTTAACCAGATTACTACAGTCGAATGGACATTTAGCTAGGAATAAACCTCACTGAATTATAATTAAATTTACTTTCAAATAAATATTGCTCAGAATAGGATTTTAATCTGCATCCTGTAGGCTGTAATGGCATTTTTCGTCCCAGGTTATCTGTGTGTGTGATAAAGACATTCACAGGGCAGCTGGATAGGTTGATGTCTGTTGGCACAATCTATAACAAAGCTCAAGATCTGAAGCTTAAATCCTGCTTTGAAGGTCCTTCAGGGAGAGGTGAGATAGAGAGGTGCTTGAATTCCCATTATTCTGTAAGTGCACATCTAAAACTGCTAGTAGCAGTCACTGATAGCAAATAGCCAGTCCCTGTTCAGGTGACTTGTAAAGGAATTGACTTCGTTTTGGGTTCCAGTTCATTTGACGTTGTCATTCCTCATTCTAGATTCAAGCAAGTTTTAAGTGCAAACATATTAATTAATATAACCTAATAATAAATAAATGAAACCTGAATGAAATCAATACTGCTTGGGTTGTTTAAAGCTTTAAGCCTCATTAGTTTTTCATTGACACTATTAATACATTTCAGTATGTAGTTCTAAGTTAAAGTTTTTCTCTGTGGTGGTCTATGAGTGGGCTCTACCACTACAGACCACAAATTTGCACTCAGATGGTTGAATACCTCTCCTTAAAGCAAACTAGACGCCAGGAGAAATGGGGTTGGATGCTACGGATGGGACATTTACCCCCTTCCCCCCCTGCGACCTCCTGTGATTTTTGCAGATAGAAAGTCCGTGGGGAGGGTATTTCAATGAGGAGGGGCACTGGAGTAGATCTCTCCTTTCCTCTCTTCCATCAGCAAAACTCCTGTAGGATTCAACCAAGGGTTCCTGCCTAAGATTCTCTTTGACATCTTGTTTTCTAAGTGAGACATTTTAATTAATTAATTGTTAATTTAATTTTTATTTAAAACATTTTTATCCCATATCCTCCCCCAGTTACAGCCTTTTATTACTTGTAATTCAGTCATGCAGGCCCCCACCCACAGTCCCAAGTGGTACAGCTCAGAATCAACCTTCCCACTGTGTTGATAACAAAGCTTACATCTGGTTTGTAGAAATGAACATGCTTTTATAAGAAAAAGTCCAGTTCATTCAATCAGTTTTAGATTGTATAATGTTTGCGAGTGCAGAAAAAGAAAATGCATCATCTTTTTTCTCTCTTTTTCTTGCCAGGATTTGACTGGTCTGGAGCAAATGTTAATAAACTGTTCTAAATCCCTTCCAGTCAACATTACTCATATTAATATCATACCACCAACACAGGAAGCATATTATGATCCTAACCTGGTAAGGACTTGTTAACAATGGCTTTTGTCCTCTTCTAGTTTTACATACTGGCATTTAAAAAACAATTTACAAAAATGTGTTGCACATTATATATTTAAGAATTCAGATTTTTAAACAGGAAATTATTGTAAAATTCCTTGATTCAGTAGACTCTAGATGTGTATCTCTTCCCAAAAAAGCTGTTAAGTGAAGGAAGCTACAATAATTTCATTTATGAACAACTCTGAATGCTCTGCTAGTTTGAAAAGTCATTAGCCATATGGTACAAACACTTGTAATTCAGGAACCACAAACCCAAAACCTCCTTGGTTCTTGGCCCAAACTGAGGTTAACATGAAGAACTAAGAGATGATAGCAACATCTCTTTAGAAAGCAAATTGTAGCTGAATGTGCTTTCTGGTTAGATTACCTCAGTCCAGTTATATGTTTGTGCTCTCCTTTGATCTCTTTGATATACTTTTCTTATAAAGATATGTGGCAGCTTTTTTTTTTTTTTTAAAGCACTCAGAAATCAAAACCATCATATCTTTTGTTGCTATCACCAGGACAGAATTTATTTTTTTATTGTTTCAGTTGCTGAACTTCCAGCTAGGCTAAACTTATAAAAGGCCCCGGTCACACCGGAGAGTTTGGCCCGGGAGAGGGACGGATCGGGGGTGCAGCAAACGGGCGCGAGCACACTGCAACATCTGGGAATCGGCTCACACCCGTCCCCGATTCGTCCCTTCAGGCCAATAACGCGCTGTAAAAAAGAACCACCCCCAGAGGAGGACTTACCTGGGACACCGCATCAAGCGCGGCCATGGGATCGCCGGCGCGCTCTTCGTTTGTAGCAATCCCAGCTCCCGGCCGAACTGCGCATGCTCACACATGCGCAGTTTGGCTGCCTCACTTCCCGGTCAGTGGCTTCCCCCCGGCATCTGATCGTGCCGGGGAGGAAGTGCGCGGCGGCTCAGGGGATCTATGTGATCCCGCCGCTGCATGTCTCTTTTGGTGCGGCTTTAAAAAGCCGCACTTTGCCCGTGTTTCCCCCCCCCCCCATGTGGCAGGGGCCAAAGACTCCTATTGAGAATACAGACATTTCCCCCAAGAATTGTTTGTGGTTTTGCCACAAGGCTTATGCTAGATTAGGAATTGTCAGGTGTTTAAACTGCGTTTGTTTTTGTGGTTGGCATTGATTGCCTTCCACCAAAGCATTTTTCTCCTCTGTTGCAGAATGGTGAATAATATGCATCTGTGTGTGTGCACACACTTTTTAAATTTTTTGCTTTTCAGCTAGTGATTAGTTTCTTTGTAGGAGCACTAAGATCATTAGGAATCTATGAAAACACTATGAAAGAGGGACATGAAAATTAATTACTACTCTCTTCAGCTAATGTTTTTCCCATTTTCAGCCTCCAGTGACTAAAAACCTGCTAACCAACTGTAAGCTTGTGACTGATAGAATTCGTAAAACATACAAGGACAAAAACAAGTACAGGTATCTCATTCTTCTTTATTGATGTTGCAAAGCAAACAAAAAAGAGTAGAGAAGATAAGAAGGACCCAAAGAATAAACTGTGTGTATTTTTTAAAATGAGACACACTGAATATCTTCATGTCAACCACTGGACACACCTGGTGGCAAATGGTATGGTGATACTCAACTTGATTGGGTTGAGTCACATAATGTTAGGGTGAAACACAAAAAGGGGAGATGTGGTTTCTAACAGCAGGAAGGATGCAAGAGACAAGGCTGATAACGTCATAGGTAATTCCCAGAGCATTTTGGCTGCTTTCACCACTGGAATTTATTTGGCAATTAGCTAGACGCACAATTGTATCTCCTAATATACATAGTATTGCTTTCCCTTGACAAGTAGTTTTGAGCTATGCATCCCTGCCTACACATGGTGGCACAAGCAGTACAATCCTCCTAAATGTGGGTGCAATACCAGTGTGAGGACTGATCCCCCAGTAGTTGTATAGAGAGCCCTGTTTTAGCACACACCTTCAGTGCACATATGGGAAATATTTCTATTTATTTACTGCATTTATACCCCGCCTTTCTCCCCAGTGTGGATGCATAGCAGCTTACATTGTTCTCCCCTCCTCTTTGAAATAGGTTAGGCTGAGAATATGTGACTGGCCCAAGGTCACCCAGCAGAGCTTCTGTGGCGGGAGTGGATATTCAGACTTGGGTCTCCCAGATACTAGTCTGATGCTCTAACCACTGCACCATGCTGGCTCAGTAGTCCAGGGCATGGAGGGGACAGGCCTGTGAATCCTTTCCATGTCCCCATCCAGCTTCTCCATTTCTGCCTGATACAAAGTACTTGAGCTTTGGGACTAGAGTAATTTGTGCAGTACAGAACTGGAGCACAGGACTTATCCTAGTAGGTTGCCTTCGTGGTGTACTGGGATTGGGATTCCATTGGGTCCTATTGTGGATCATTCAGAGTGAGTTCTACACTTGCACTAGGAAAAAATTATGTAATTCAGTATTTTTATCCTGCTTTTCCCCAGAAAAGGAGGACTCAAAGCAGTTTACAAAACACTAAAAATTAACTACAGTCTTAAAATCACAATCCAGCAATAAAAGAGGAATAGCTGCCACCAGGCCATGGGGCTGAGCAGGTAGAAGAATTCAGCCCTTGATAGAATTGTCAATTTCTAAATTGTGTTTCAAGCTCTGTTTCTAAGCTGCATATAGAAAGAATATTGATTTTTTTAATGTAGATTTTACCGAGTAGTCATAAGAAAAACAGTTATATAGACAGACATGTGGCAGAAATTCACTTTAATAATGCCTGTGACTTCACAAATTCTTATTTCATGTTACATTACTCTTTTTTATTATCTTTATCATACTAAGGTTTGAAATCATGGGAGAGGAAGAAGTTGCTTTCAAAATGATCCGCACCAATGTTTCTCATGTAGTTGGCCAGCTTGATGATATTCGAAAAAATCCCAGGTATGTACTTCTGATGAGTGTTTGATTTTGAAATTACTCTAAATTCTGATCTGTAAAATGCAATACTCATTTCCATTATAGGATGCTGTGAAAGAAGATTTGATGTGAATGCAAGATAAATACAAATAGTTTTTTGTTTTTTAAAGGTTGCTTGTAGTCATTGGATTGGTTCTGTCAGTGGAATAGGTCTTCTGCTTGCTAAAATGAGGGCAGTTTCCATCCATTTCCCCTGCTTAATGTACTGTATAACATTCCTGAGGGTTTGAGTTTCAGAAAGGGCTTTTTAGGGAGTTATTATAGGGAAAGATCTGTTTCATAAGCAGAATTCTGCCAACAGTCTTTGGATCTAACCAAAAATCTCCTGGGTAATGTATGTACTTACTATTGTTTTCCTGCCATGTTCTTTTCATGGGCCAGGATCAGAAGAGCCCTTGTGCATACCTTCTACCCGCTGTAGTCCTCATGCTGTCTCAGATGAAAGGACACAGGCATCTGGAGCAGCATCTTTCTACAGTAGTTAGTATATTCAGAAGCTTTAAAAATAATTCTGGCCTTCAGGAACTGTTTTTGAAGGACACTTAATGGCTGTCTGTGCCAATGAGGACATTGTGGACTGCCAGTATGTGTATGGAATCTCACCATGCCCCTTTGGATCATGGCCACTGTTTTGATAGAAATGAAATATTCAGGAAAAGTATTACAACTATATGACAGTGTACAGAAATGGGCATAGGTAACCTTTGCAAAACAAAACAGTGGTCCACAGACTGGAAATGCTCAGTCTACATTCCAATTCTGAAAAAAGGAGATGTCAAAGACTACAGCAGCTGTCAGACCTTCACGTTAATTTCTCATGTGAGTAAAGTGGTGCTCAAAATTTTACAACAAAAACTGTTACCATATATGGAACAAGGAATGACAGATGTGTAAAGCTGGATTCAGAAAAGGAAGAGGCCCTAGAGAACATACTGCAAATTTATGTTGGTTACTGGAACATACAAGAGAATTTCAGACATTACAGTAAAGCTTTTGAATGTGTGAATTGTGAAAAGCTATGGTTGGTTTTAAAAGAAACAGTGTGTCACCATATCTGATTGTTTAGACACACGAAACCTATACTCTGGACAAGAGGCTACTGTTAGGACAGAATATGGAGAAACAGAATGGTTTCCAATTAGCAAAGGTGTCAGACAAGGATGTATTTTGTCTCCCCATCTCTTCAGTCTATATGCAGAGCATATCATAAAGAAAGCTGGATAAGATTTAGATGAAGGTGGAGTGAAAACTGGAGGAAGGAACGTTAACAATCTAAGATATGCAAGTGACACATTACTGGCAGAAAGTAGTGAAGACTTGAAACAACTACTGATGGTTAAAGCAGAAAGTGCCAAAGCAGGATTACAGCTGAACATCAAGAAGACAAAAGTAATGACTACTGGGGAATTGACAGTGAAGATATTTTGAGTCTTAGTGGCACCTTTAAGAGCAACAAAGTTATATTCTGGGTATAAACTTTCATGTGTACATGCCACTGGACTCAAACTTTGTTCTGCTGCTTCAGACCAAAATGGCTACCCACCTGAATGAAGATATTGCAGTTGTTCAAGATTTTCTATTCCTTGGCTCCATCATCAAGCAAAAGGGAGTCTGCACCCAAGAAAGCAGAAGAAGACTGAGACTGGGAAGGGCAGCCATGAAGCAGCTAGAAACGATCCTTAAGGATGTGTTGTGTGTTGTGTGCAGTAAGAAAAGACAACAACTCAACGTGAGATGGATTGACTCAATCAAGGAAGCCATGGTCCTCAGTCTGCAAGACCTGAACAAGGCTGTTAATGATAGGGTATTTTGGATGTCATTAATTCATGGGGTCACCATAAGTCAGACTCAGCTTGATGAGAATACACACACAGCCTTTTCTTTGTGAGTCTCAGTAAACGCAAGGCATATGTTAACAGAAATTATCTCACATTATTATATCTTACACTGGTAGAAATTTAATCCTTTATATTGTGTATGTGGTATATTTGTACTGAGTACTATATTTTGGGTATATTATCTAAGCAGGGCGATGTTTTGTGTTGCTGAAGTTTCGCAAAGGTTACTGATGGCAGCCATGCTGTGTGTTACCTCAGTTGGCCTCAAGGTCATCAAAATATGAATAATAATTATTAAACTACTGTACACTAAAGGACTTGATCAAATTGTATCACAAATTGGGGATTGCAGGTGCAGTTATGAATATTGGAGCACATTAAATTAAGGTTGCATTGATGATTATGTAATAACATTACCCACTAGGGACATCCTTGAAAATCTACTATGATAAAACATGCATTCTTAAATGCCCATGAAATGTAACTACACAGGATTAGATCCAGACAGCTTTTCTAGTCAGTCTTGCCTAATTCTCCTTTCTACAGTTCCTACAGGACCTTTTTTCCATGCAGGTCCCATGATCACCAGTAGGAGTGTGCAAAAAAAAAAGTATTTTTCCCACTTCTGGTCTTTTGGATCCCAAAAATAATGGTATTCCCAAATACCAATATTGGTTTTGTACTGGGATTCAGGTAAATATTCAGGAAACCCGAGTTTGTATGGCTCTATTATACCCTACATGGACTGTCCCCATAGGATATCATGGACAAAGGATTTAAACTTTAAATGCTTGCTGAGTTCACTCGCATGGGCAACGTGACACTGCAAGTGAACTCAGCAAGCGTTTAAAGTTTAAATTCCTTCTGAGTTCACTCATTGACTCCACGAGTGAACTCAGAAGGCATTTAAAGAGATTGTGGGCTTTTATTTGGGTGTGACTATTCATTAAAAATACAAATAAAGTATTTATTTGGCTTGGTATATACCGAGCGCATACCCATAATCACCAGCATGGCCTTTTTGATGGTCCAAGGACCCCCTACCCCTCAGTGTTTTCTTCACCAGCAGAAAAGCTGTTTGGGTCCAACCCATTTTGTAGAAAAATTAGGGTGTTGCTTTTTTGGAGATAAAAGTTTTAAAAGAATATGGGCCTCTTACATTTGTATATGGGAATAGTAATATTTTATAATACATTGTTTTTTGTCATCAAGTGACAGCTGACTTATGGTTACCCCATGGGGTTTTGTGGGGCAAGAGACATTCAGAGGTAGTTTGCCATTGCCTGCCTCCTTGTCATGACTCTGGTATTCTCCAGTGGTTATGTCGTGGTACATTCCTCACTTCTGGGATAAGCTCCTCCCTCTTCCTGTAGGGTCGGCTCCAGGCTTTGATCCAGGCGGGGAGGGGCTTATCCCCTTGCAGGCTCTCCAGTTTCTTTGCCGGCCCTGCTCCTAGCAGGACGTGCCCAGGCCGCGCTTTTTGAAAGCGCACACTTGGAAAAGAGAGAAGACGGAAGAAAGAAGAAAGAGAAACCGGCTGGTTTCATTTACAGCCGGACGGGCTGACGGCGTCGGATTACAATCCAGACGCCTTGGCAGCCTGCAACGAGGGTCTCTGCTGGCCTTACCCGTCCCTGGGGCGGAGGGCCTGCTCCGATAGCCCAGGAGTGCAGAGGCGATTGCACGTGGCGGTAAGGAGACAAAGCTCTCCATAACCGGCAGTGGGCAGATGAGTGGGACACGGAGCGGAGAAACGCTGACTCCTTACATCCCACCTGAAACGCGGTAAGCTGATACCGGCTATAAATCCACCCCTCCTAAAAGGCAGGAGGGAGGAAAACGCCGGAGGGCTCCCGGGAAAGGGGAGGGAGCTGAAACCTCCGTTTGGCCTTGGGAGCCGGGGGAAGGGGGGAGTGTTTTTCCCAGCCCTATAGACGTCCCTCCGAGTACCCTTCCACGGGGGGGGGGAAGGTACTGGATAGTGTCCAGGGCCTCAGAGAGAGAAAGAGCAGGCAGGGGAGGGGAATCCTCCCCTTGTTAAGCAAAACGCAGGGGGACAAACTTGGAAGAATAGATTGAGCGCTTGTGTTCAGCCCAAGACAGTTCCACCGGGGACATCATGTAGGCAAGGCCTTCAACATCCCAGAGCCACCAAGACTCTGACCACCGAGGGTATGGGGCCCAGGGAGGCCATTAACCTGGACATAATGAATTGGTTCAGAGGGGAAATGAAAAGGGAGTTCAAAGACCTGATACTGGAGACCATACAAGGCTCCAAATCTCAGGATGCTCCGATGGAAAGGGGTAGGAGCCTTAAGAGAGCCAAAGACAGAGCTAGCGTCTCTAGATCCCCTGTAACCCCAAAGCACAGCAGACATAAGTCTGACTCTAGAGAGAGGAGCCCTCTGATGAGGCATGATGAATCTGAACCAGAAGTTTCCTCCTCTTCAGACAAGGAGGAAGGTAAACGTTCCACTGAGGAATAAGAAATGGCTGTACAGACGGTGCAATCCAGACTTTTCCCACAGGAAATTTGCCCGCGTATCTTGCCTAAAGTATTGAGGACTTTAGATCTCTCGGCTAGGCCCAGGGAGGAGAATGAACAGGACTCTGAGTTTCAGAAAGGTGTGGGTAAACTGATGCCTAAGGTATCAGTCTCTCAGTTAGGTCTGCCTCTCCCAGCCTCATTTTACCACATAATGAAGGCTGAATGGGACCAACCAGCTAAACCAAAGACCAATCATCCCCCTTTCTCAAAGCTATATACACTGATGCCTGAGGCCTCACAGAAATTAAAGTTACCTGTAGTAGATGATCCAGTAAACAACCTGTATTCCAACTTGGTGCTTCAGACAGACACCGATGGGATGCCCAAGGATCACACTGACAGACGGATAGAACGCGCTCTCCGTAATAATTTTGAGGCCTCAGTGGCAGTGATTAAGGCATCCACAGCGGGTTCTCTATTCACCAGGGCAGCCTACGAATGGACAGACAAACTGGCTGCGGCAGATAGCGGGATACCTAAAGATCTCTCTAGTGTTGGCCTTTACGGCGGATGCCACGCTGGACACCATACAACTTTCAGCTAGAGCCTTAGCGTGCAGTGTGACAGCGAGGCGAAATACCTGGCTTCGACACTGGGATGTTGACTCATCCGCACAGGCTAAAGTGGCGGCGGTTCCCTTTAAAGGAACTATCTGTTCGGTGAGGGACTAGATAGATACCTAATTGAGGATAAGGACAAAAAGAAAGTCCTTCCCTTTAAGAAGAGAGAAAACAAATTTAGAAAATGCTTCCAGCCCTTTCGTGAACAAAAAGGGGACAGAAGCAATCTTTCTCAAGACCCTCAAAGGAAAATGGCAGGTCATACCTCAAAGCGGGAAGTCCTTCCCAAACAACAAGGGTGAACAGTCAGCGACCAAAGCTCCTAAGAAGGGAGCTTCGGCGTGACTACCTACATCACCTAGGGCAGCAGGAGATTGGAGGAAGGCTGCAGTCATTCTCGGATCAGTGGCATCTGACGATTTCGGACCAGTGGGTGTTAGAGATAGTAACACATGGCTAGAAGCTAGAGTTTCTCTCCATCCCCCGCCAACGCTGCGTCAGAATGCCAAAGTTCCAAAACCAATCGAAACACTAGAGTTAAAAAAGGCCATCCTCCACCTTCCGGAGATAGGGGCTATAGAGAGAGTGCCCTCGTCCCAATGGGAACAGGGCGTGTACTCCTTTTTTCCTTGTGGTTCCAAAGAAAAACAGGACCACGAGGGCCACCCTAGACTTAAAAGGACTGAATCAACATATTCGGGACAGGAGGTTCTGGATGGAGACATTAAAATCCATCCTGTTGACTATTCAACAGGGGGATTTTATGACGTCTTAGGATCTATCCAAAACCTACCTGCACGTGCCCAGAAACAGCATGCACTGAAATTTCTGAGGTCCAGTTACGCGGGCTCTCACTTCCAGTACAAAGCACTCCCGTTTGACCTCAAATCATCGCCCAGACTGTTCACGGAGGTCCTAGTGATGCTGGTGGCACACTTACGACTAAAAGGGGTGGGGCTGTTTCCATGCTGGGACGATATCCTCATAAAACCCCCATCAGCCACGGAGGGCACAAAGGCCCTGAACCTCACAGTCCAGACCCTGACCGGTCACGGGTTTGTGGGGAATTTTCAAAAAAGTCACTTGGTCCCCACACAGAGACTGTTACACTTAGGGGTGGAAACTGACACAATCCAAGACAGGGTTTTCCTGTCACAGGAGCAGTAAATCAGACTCCTGGTGGAGCGTGCACTGGGAGACCCCAAGTCGGAACTCATGACTCTGACTAAACTGCTAGGAATTCTAGTCTCATTTCAGGAGATAGTATAGTGGGCCCGTTTTCACGCCAGGCCCCTGCAAAGGCTTCTTCTCCCGTACCAGGGGGAGATTATGCACAAAAGTTACAAGCTTATTCAGCTCCCCTCAGCGGTACAACATCAACTGACGTGGTGACTGTCATCAACACGTTACAAGGAGGGATCCCCTCTCAGGGATCCACCGAGGACAGTCATGATGACAGATGCAAGTCTGTTTGGTTGGGGGGGGGCACATTCGGGCAACAAGATGGCTCAGGGGGAATGGTCAGCCACAGAGGCGATGGAGAGTACCAACCTACTGGAACTGAGAGCGATCCGCTTGGGGTTCCTGAATCTGGCAGACTCCTTGTCGGGACATCATGTACTTGTCCAGACGGACAACACCACGGCAAAAGCCTACGTGAACAGACAAGGGGGAACCAGAGTTCGATCTTTAAATACGGAAGCCACCACACTGACTTCCTGGGCAGAACGTCACCCGTTGTCTCTAAAGGCCACTCACGTGGCAGGAAAGGACAATGCGTTGGTGGACTGACTAAGTCGCGAACGACTGGACCAGTCAGAATGGAAGCTAAACACGGAAGTTTTCCAACAGATCTGCAATAGGTTTGGTCAGATGGACCTCGACCTGTGTGCAACAGAGACAAACCGTCAACTCCCAGCATTCTTCTCCCGGGGGAGGAATGCATTAGCTCACGGGACAGACGCTCTGAACTGCCCATGGCCTCAAGGCCTTCTTTATGCCTATCCACCATTGCCAATCATGCACAGGGTACTGCACAGGGTGAAACAGCTGAAAGCAGAAGTGGTGCTGATTGCGCCCTTCTGGCCACGTCAATCGTGGTTCCAGGACTTACAGAGCATGTCATTGGCGAAACCGTGGAGCCTGCCACTAAGGGAGGATTTGCTGTCCCAAGGGCCTACAAGGCACCCACAACCGGGGTTACTCAGGCTAGCAGCATGGAGATTGAGTGGAAAATGCTAGTTGGTGCGGGGTACCAAGACAAAGTAGTAGATACAATGCTGGCATCTAGGAAAGCCTCCACTAAAAGATCGTACGATTACACCTAGCGAGTGTTTTGTGAATGGAGTGGGGCAAGAAAGCAGGACCCCCTTAAGGCATCAGTTAAGACGGTTCTTTCCTTCCTACAAGATGGTCTAGAGAAAGGTCTTAGCACAAGCACTCTCAGAAGGCAGGTATCCGCCATATCAGCCATTCTAGAAACTAAACATGGGGGGTCTACAATTGGACACTCACATGTTAAGAGATTTTAAAAGGGGTTTCTATCATTAATCCCCCCTTGATCCATAGATGTCCCACATGGAGTCTTAATACAGTTTGAGGGCTCTTTGCAAGCACCTGCTTGAACCTATGGCATCATGTCTTCGCAAAGAACTGACTTTCAAAACCTTGTTCTTGGTGGGAATTACCTCGGCACGTAGGGTGTCAGAACTGAGGGCACTGTCCATTAACAGGGAACTTTGCATTTTTCATAGGGACAAAGTAGTCCTTCGCCCAGATCCAACATTTGTCCCGAAAGTGAATTCAGTTTTCCATAGGTCAGAGGAAATAGTACTGCCTTCTTTCTGCCCCAATCCTAAGCACGATAAGGAACGTGAATGGATGTTAGAAGGGTGCTTAGTTTCTACATTGAAAAAACTAAGGGTTGGAGAAAATCTGAGGCGCTTTCATGTCCTTTAGAAAACCTTCTTGGGGAAAACAGATTTCCACCTCCACTCTGAGTAGGTGGATTAAAGGCTGCATCATTGTGGCATATAAGGAGAATGGGTTACAACCTCCAGAAGGGATAGTGGCACACTCTCTTAGGGGAGCAGCCACGACTGCGGCCTACAGGCCCTTTCCCTCATTAGAAACTATATGTCAGGCAGCCACTGGGAAACCGTACACTCCTTTACCAAACATTACAGAGTGGATAAATTGGCATCGGCGGAAGCATCCTTAGGCCATAGGGTGCTCCAACACACTCTGAAGGGAGAGAGGCGGATTCCCACCCTGGAATTTTTGGCTTCTGTACGTCCCAGAAGTGAGGAATGTACCACGACATAACCACTGGAGAACGGAAGGTTTCTTTCACTTACCGTGAATCTTCCTTTCTCAGTGGTTTGGAGTGGTACATTCCTGCCCACCCGTTTTTTGGGTGTACCTCTCTCCGTCCTTACAAGAGTGTGGGAAGACGGGGATGTTACAGTACGGAGCTGGTTCTCCGTTTGGGGGCTTTAGAACCCTAATACATTTATGGTCTGTTATGGTGTTAGTCTCTCTATGTTTGGGGGAGATAATCTTTCTTCCAGTTCCTTTACGGCGGGGTTTATACCGGGCTTCATGATGACTGGAGAGCCTGCAAGGGGATAAGCCCCTCCCCGCCTGGATCAAAGCCTGGAGCCGACCCTACAGGAAGAGGGAGGAGCTTATCCCAGAAGTGAGGAATGTACCACTCCAAACCACTGAGAAAGGAAGATTCACGGTAAGTGAAAGAAACCTTCCGTTCCTTGGTGGTCTCCTTTCCAAATACTAACCAGGGCTAATCTCTCTTTTTTCGTTAAATAATTTTTTATTTTATTAAAAGATAAGTCAAGTATACATAAATAAACCCATTATGTCTCAAGATTACTGTATAAACATTAATACATTAATACAAACTGTGAGTGCAGATACATATATCACAATGCCGTCTATTAACTTGTCAGCAGGATCTTCGTATGACCATATCCTTGTCACTTTCTTGTGATTTTCCAATTATTCTAAAATTGCTATAATATTAACGTATATAAATCCAGATATATTTTAGAAGGACCTCAATAGTATTTTGTGAGAGTGCTCCGACCATCAAAATTCTCATAGATGTAGCCATTCTGCATAGCTAGTATGTGCTGGTAATACATCGTTTTCAACCAGGGCTAATCTCTGAAGAGACTGAGCTAGCCTGGACTATCCAGACATTGTTTATGTGAATAAATACTCTGAAATTTTCTTACTCTGTTTGCTGAATAAGAGAGCCGAATTACGAACCAATTTATAGGATTATGTAGCTCTTTTTTTTAAAAAAAAAAATTGCTTTCTAAAACGTTATTTGCTTCTTAATACAGGCAGTAAGAATATATTATTGATTATTTTTCTTTCAGAAAATTTGTTTGTCTAAATGACAACATTGATCACAGTCATAAAGATGCTCAGACTGTAAAGGCAGTGCTAAGGGATTTTTATGAATCAATGTTTCCCATCCCATCCCAATTTGAGCTACCAAGAGAGTATCGAAACCGCTTTCTTCATGTGCACGAGCTTCAGGAATGGTAAGTGATTCCATCCTTTGAAGTTTGACTTGAAGTATTGGTTTGTATCCACATTTGTAGTAAAGGCTTGTGAGCAGAACACAGCGATTTTCCTTCTGAAGTCTGGATTTAGTTTTAAACTGTGCGGTGAATGCACTAAAACTAAAAAAAAAACTGGACAGAATTGTTGTGGGAAATTATTCAAAATACTATGATTGCCCTTCAGATTTGTTATAAATACTTTGTGTTCTAATACAGTTTCTCACATAACTTAGTATTTGTAACTCTGCTTTTAAGTTTTTTGTTTTTATTAACACAAGAGAAAATCCATCTCCATGCAAGGCTTTAACCGGTGTATGCTCTCAGATCCACTTCTGGATAATGTGTGCTTCTGCAGTTTGTCAAGATCATTTTTGTGGAATATTTATTAATGTTATCTGTTTTTATCCTGCTTGTATGTAGGAGGGCTTACAGAGACAAGCTGAAATTCTGGACACATTGCGTTCTAGTGACACTGATTGTGTTCACAGTCACATCATTTTTTGCGGAGCAGGTAAAAGCTGTAACTTTCTAAATGTAAAATTTTTCTTGTTGTTGAAATGTGTTGGATCCAGTGCAGCATTTCTGCAAGCACAAGGGCTTGCTCTTGTGGAACATGACTTTCACAGTTTGCCCTTCCCACAGCAGCCAAAATGCCCCCTCTGCCGCTTTTGTTCCTGGAGGAACAGGAGTCAGGGGCTGTTTTAAGGCTGCAGTGGGACTTAGTGGAAAACAACCAAGAGAAATCCTTGTGACCATAAGAATTCTGTGCTGGATCCAACCCATAGTATGGTATAAAGCCAAGACTGCTGTTCTGTTGAGTGGGTGCACAGCTACTGGAATATAAAGAAATCACTGGAAAATGCTCAGCAAAAGTGATGACGTAATGGCTGAGAAGGTGACTGGGGAGTGAGAGGTTGAGCCATCAGTCACATAAAGAAAGGCATACATTAAACATTATTAGGATGCCATTCTTGCTCCGATCTAGTTTAGACAGACTTTGGTGTATATAGGGTTGGATAAGGAATATAGTACAAATAAACAGCTGTTGTTTGCACGTTTCCCCAAGCTGAAAATCCCAGTCTAGGAACTGGAGCTGAATATTAAATCATCCTTGAAAGCACCAAACAGTTATTCAGGGATAGGAAGGACTGAATCATATGCACCATCTCTTCCACTCTCCTTCCCCCTCCCCGGATAATCAGCCCTTTTGCCAGTAACCTCACTGATAGATTGCCCCAGTTTCTGCATTACATTTTTCATCTTGGGAAGCATGCATGTACACAAGGGCCAACTGCTGCACGCATGTACTGCTAAATCTGTTTTTGTGTATGTGCATCTTTCAGGGTTTTTTTTATTGATAAGGTGTATCATTGTGCTATGTTTTATACTTTGTAGAAGGGAAACAGTCTTCTCATACAACAGCAAATCACGGTTTGTAATTACAAAAACACTCTTGTGGTGTAGTGGTTAAGAGTGGGGGGCTCTAATCTGGAGAACTGGGTTTTGATTCCCCACTTCTCCCCATGAAGCCTGTTTGGTGACCTACCTCACAAGGTGCCTGTTATGGGGAGAGGAAGGCGATTGTAAGCAGCTTTGAGACTACTTAATGTAGAGAAAAGTGTAGTATAAAAACCAACTCATCTTCTTCGTGGTCTCTGTGCATCACACCCTGGGATATAGTGCGCCTGCGCCAACCCCGATCGGTATTGTCGAAAGCTAAAGGGATTTTCACGCCCGCTCCCCTGTCACGTGCCGGGCTCAGAGCACATGACTAGGGGAGGGGCACAACCATCCCGCCAGTTCCTTCTGACCGCTGCCCTCAGTCACAAAGCAAAAGGAAAGGACCAAAAGCAGAGGGGAGGGAGGGCGGGTGGTGTGAATGCACAGATGACCACTCGAAGATCATCAGTTACAGGTAAGCAACCTGTTTATCTTCTTCGTGGTCTCTGTGCATCACACCTCTGGGAGACTAGAAAGCAATAACCACCTACCTGGAGGAGGGTGCTGAAGGTCCTAGACATGCACCGCCTGCAACACAGCCTGTCCCACCATCATATGCTGATGAAGACGAACGTCTAGGGCGTAGTGCTTCACAAACGTGTGAGGAGTAGCCCAGGTCGCCGCATTGCAGATGTCACCAAGTGACGCACCTCGCAGGAAGGCCGTGGATGTCACAATTGCCTGGGTGGGATGTGCTCGTAGCAGACCCGGGAGCGGCTTCTTAGCGAGCAGATAGCCAAGTTTGATCGTCTCCACGAGCTGAGAGGATAACTTCTTCCCCTGTGAAGGTAACGCATGAGAGACAAACAGAGCTGGGGTCTTTCTGAAAGGCCGCATTCTGTCCAGGTAGAATAGCAGAGCCCTCTTGACAACTAGGGAGTGAAGACGATGTTCTTCATCACTCTGCAGCGTTGGGAAAAACACAGGGAGAACAATGTCTGCTTGGAGATGGAATTCCGAAACTACCTTGGGCAGAAAGGAGACATCTGGGGCCAAGGTAACACTATCATTATGAAACGTCAGGTACGGAGAGTCACACCTGAGTGCTGACAGTTCACTCACCCTCCTGGCCGAGTTAATCACTACCAGGAAGGCAGTCTTCCAGGAGAGGAGCTGTAGGTTACAGGTAGCCATAGGCTCGAAAGGTCTGCCCATCAACTTGTAAGTACCAGGGGAAGATCCCAAGCTGGCAAAGGGCCCCGGGACGGAGGAAACAGGTGCCTGAGCCCTTTGAGAAACTGCTTGGTCCTTGGGTGTGAGAAGACGGAATGACCATCCAACTCAGGGTGATTAGTTGAGATGGCTGCCAAGTACACCCGCAATGACGAAAAACAGGCCTAAATCCAAACGTGATAACAAAAAACCAAACACTGTAACTAGATCAGTGTGTGTGGGGGGGGGGGGTAGCCCCAACAGATATAGGTACGACAAGAAGGTCTTCCACTTTAACTAGGAGGCTCTAGTCAAAGGCTTACGACAATTAGAGAGCACATATTCTATTTGGTCTCTGAGTGCTGCCACAGAATTCTCCATGCAGGCGCACTATATCCCAGGGTGTGAATGCACAGATGACCACTCGAAGATCATCAGTTACAGGTAAGCAACCTGTTTTTCTTCTTCTCAGAAATCCTTGGGAGTATGTGTTCACTTTCACTCGTGAATGGCTCAGAAAATAATCTTTTCTGTTTTTGCAGCAAACCATGGCTTGCTATATAAGAATCCCAAATGTTATTTATTCTTTTGCCTCCAAGCCAAGACTAAATCGTTGAATGGAGCGAATACAACAATTGAGTTTGTGTATAGGATGAAACAACAAACTGTGGATCATCACAAAAGCATAAGTGATAGATTCCCAAGCTGCAAGTAATTTCCAAGAGAACAGTGGCGAGTGTACATATTCAGGGATTTCCATGGATTGTTTCTGCAGTTTGCTGTTAAGTGTGAATTGTGCTATTCTCTTGGTGGTGGGCAAAAGTACACATGAAAGGAGTACAGTGTAATGGAGCAGAGCATTGTAATGGTTTCTGTGAGCAAACAGTTGGAAGATCTGAATTCCTTTTTCTGTTAACTTTTCAGCTAATCACTCTCAAACGAAAATTTTTTCCAAGGAGGAGGATTCAAAAAGAAGTTTGTCATGAACGATTGAAGGTGTAGAAGAATTTTGATCATGAATCAGTCTACCTCAACATGTGATGAACATGTGAAATGTTTTGTTTCAGAAGTGTCTTGATTGTCATGTCCTGGGTGTGAACAAAACCGCCCATGTCATTATAGCCTTTGTAACACTGTGTATTACACCCCTGCTACTGAGCTTACAGAGAGTGTGAGGACAGTGTGGAAAGGGTGTGTTGCCAGCTCCCAAGTGGTTCTCAAGCATTATGTCCTGAGCACATTATCCTTTTTATAAAAAGGGTTACTGAAAGAAACATAGCTGCATTTATTGCAGTACGCATTGCAAACAAAGAATAATGTTGGACAGTTAAGTTCAGCCTCTGGTAAAGTGTGTTTCTGATGTTGCATCCCAAAGCATTCTGTAAGTTACTGACCATTCAAATCAATATCTTGCCTCCCTCCCACCTTTAGAAGAACAATCTGCTTTAGTCACAACCTACATGCATTGAGAGCAGGATTCAGAATGGTTGTTGTAGGAAGTCCTTTGGAATTATTTCCTCCCATCATTCCACTGCTGTTCATGGGACGGCATTACTATGTCAGGTACTTCGCATTGGCAACCAAACAAGTCATGTCACCAGGAGAGTTTCCCCAGCTTACCTAACATATCTGGTGGCAGCTCTTTCTTCTTCGTGTTCCTGGCCTACAAACTGTTACCAGGAAAAACAGGGGAAGAGCCATGCATAGCAGCAGCAACTTGACTTGGGCAGCAGATAGTCCTAATGTATGTTTTTAAGAGCAGCTTTGTACCCTATTCTTCGAGCACAAAGGACATGATTCTAACGTGTCCCCCCCCAATATGAGTGCCACCTACATTAAGTTGTGTGTATATATAATTTAAATATAGAAAGAATTATTACTGCAGAGTGTCCTCTGAAGAACTGAAGTCCTAATGCCCTATTTGCTTATTCAGTAATGAAACTGATATCTAGAGAAATTGAATTCCAGTCTGTGATGCCAGAGTGTCATTTCTCTATTGAACAAAATGTAAATTAGTTTAATATTTGGATGCCTAAGTAAAAGTCAGGGGTATAATCAGGTAAAGAAATTGTAATGTAACTATGATTTTTACAAGCATTGTGTATTAGGCAGCAAAAGTGCCTCACCATTATAACTTGTCAATATGTGTACTGTTTTACTGGTACTGATGTATTATATGCAGTAATTTCTCATATCAAGCATTTTCTAAAATTGGCTGTTTGCCCTATTTTGTCAAGAGGGATACCCACAGGAAAACTTCAAGCAGATATTTTTTGAAAGAACACCTTCAATCATGATATTAACAAGCCTTCTAAATATCACATGGATTGTTTTATAATAAAGACATGAGATTTTCAGTGTATATGTGCTGTAAAATGTACATTTTCATTTAATAATGTCCATGATTTAAAAATTATGTGACTTATTTTGCATGTTTGTGAGAGAAGAAAAATGATCAGCTGTTAAATGCTCTGAGAAGTGCTAAATATTTTTAAATTGGAAAAGGCACCTTATTCTTTATTATCCAGTGTATCAACCTACTTCTAAATTAAATAAACTTGTTTTAAAATAGCAGTTTTTTGTCTTTTTAAAGAAAAAGTTTCCTAAAGCAACAGTTGTATTCTGGGTCAGAATACTGGGTCAGTTCAATAGAACTACAGATATTTCTGCCTTATCTTTTGAACTAATATGCAACTAGGGAAGCCATCACATATGACTGCCATACTAAAATGGACATAAGGAACATGCTCTCCAGTTGACTCCTCTCTTTTCTGGTCTTATTTTCTCTTGTGTTATACAGCTGACTAGAACAGGCCATTGATATTAGACCCTGCCTGTTCTGAATTAGAGAGGTTGTGCTAATTTGGCAGGGGAGGGGAGAAATCCCACATTTGAATGCCCCCATTGCATTACATAATTTGCTGCAAGAAGAAAGCCAAAACATCAGGGAGTAGACTGAGCCAGCACTTTTCTTCCTGCAAGAGGTATCTGAAGATGTGAGCAGTGACTCACGAACGCTCATACCCTGCCACATATTTTGTTAGACTTTGAGGTGCTACTGGACTCTTGCTCTTTTCTACTTTCTGCAAGGGTAATGGTAAGTAGGAACCCTTTTTAAAGAGGACAGCAAATTCCCCTCCCCCCTTTCTCTCTGAAGAGTAGTCCTCTCTGGTTAAGATGTCCACTGTAAAGTGATTGTGGAGTGATTTAGGGTGATTCTGCATCTAGCATTTGCTCCACATTTTCTCAACTGGGAGGGAAAAGTGCAGTACCGATTTCACACAAGAGCTGCGCAGGGGTCGCCCTCCCTTTGCCCCGCTTCTGTTGGTCAGTTTCCCACGAAGCTGTGCGCCACATTTTGACCCGCGGCTTCACCCTATTTTTCCCGCGGTTTTGTGATCCTGTTTTTTGAGGATCACGAAACCGCAGGGAAAATCGGACGAAGCTGCGGGTCAAAATGCAGCTGTGGGGCTTCCAGTGGGAAATTAATAGAAGCGGGGCAAAGGGAGGCACGACCAACCTTCCTAAGCTGTCGAGTCTTGTGAGCAGAAATTCTACTTTGTGAGCTACTGGCATTAAAATTGTGAGCAAGCAATTTAGCTACTGCGTAAATTAGTTTGCTCTGTAGCCATCCTTCCTGAGCTAAGACGAAAAATGTGTGAGCCGGAGGCTAAAAAAATGTGAGCTAGCTCACACTAACTCAGCTTAAAGGGAACACTGGGCACGACCCCAGCGCAGCGGTCCAGCTCACCACCACATTCAAATACCTCAGGCAACTCCATACTGACTGCAAAGTCACCCCTGAACTGCCATAAAACAGCCATAAATCTATGCAGAAGGTACAATAAAATCCGATGATCAAAGGAAGCGAAAGGAGCATGCAATGCAGAAGGGAATTTGTGCTCCAGCCTGGGTTTGATAAAACAGGGAAAAGCCGATGCAGAGTCAGCCTTAGAGACGTTGGCAGGAAGGTCTGGCCACCCTCATCCTCCATGAGGTGGAGGGAGTGAAGGTCTCTGGTGTCTAAATAAGAGTGGAGTGTGGAACTTGTGGAAAGGCTAAAAGAGCGCGCGACTAGCTTACAAACCAAGGGGCTGGGCGTTTAAAAGGCAAGGTAATTTAGGCGGGAAATAATTAGCTGACCTGGGCTTGAACAAATTTACTCGGAGCGGCAACCTTTTTTAAAACATATTTCGCTTCAGGCAGCTCCCGGGTGCTGAGGGAGAAAGCGCAAGCGGCGTGTGCGTTTCCATTTTCTGGGTTCAGGCTCAGCCCCTAAATTGTTCGGCTTCCTACAATATATTCTTAACGGGGTTGTGAACAGGTTTTCACGGAAGGGGGGCGGGGAGTAGCAACGTTAACGGCGGCTTTGGGGCGGGGAAGGGCGGGGTAGCCAATAAAAGAGGAGCGGGAGGATGCAGCCTCCGGTCTGAGGTAACTGAGGCGGGGAAAGTACAGCCTGAGGGAAACGCTGGGTCCGTTGGTGGCGGGAGGCTGATCTTGCGCTGCCAAAATTTGTGAGGCGAGAGGAGAGGCGGCTGCGGCGCTGGGAAGATAGGCAACCTTCGTGGAGCGAAGCCTGCGCGTGTGGTCGTGTGGAAGCCCTTTTTAAGGGCTCAGTGGCAGCTTCTGTGTCGGGTTTTTCTTGTACTGTGTGTATGGGGGGTATTTAGTAACAAAATAAACATGCGCACAGCGTAATAACAGCATTAAGTTACATTGGGTGCGCTGGCCCTCGGGATTCCCCCAAATGCGGGAAAGCTGGACTGCATAATTTGCAGCCTCCTCCTCTTGACTTGATAAACCAACCCAGGGTGACAACAGATTAGGGTATTTTTTTAAAGTTCCATTAAAATGCAACTAAATCTCCTTAGGGAGATATAACCTTAATTCCCTATCAAAACCAGTTTAAGTTATTTGTGTAGTTATACCTCACTGTCCCCGTGTCTAAAGGAGGCTCCCAAATTTTAATTAAAAAATAAAATCCTACATAACCATGAACTGGTTTTGCTCTCCTCACTGTCCAAAGTTGCAGGAAATTTTAAGTGTGGTCTTTCACACCATTAGTTCTTTTGTGAATAGGGCTGCTAAGTGGGAGCGGGTGGTGGGTAAACCCCCGCTTTGGAGGCCCGATTTCCACCGCAGTGGAACGGGCCCTGAGGGGAACTCTGCCCCCCGAAGCGTCACCAGAGGTGACGCAACCACGTCGATCACGTTGGGGGCATGGCCCGGATCGTCGGAGGGAAAACTCTATGGTTTTCCCTCTGACGATCCGGGCCACCCCCCCAACGTGGTCGACATCGCGCCACAAAATGATTGCTGCACCTTGACTTCAGTAACACCGTGTAAATCCTTGTGCTGTGGTAGCAACTGCTGCTAAAGCAACAGCTAATCAAATCTCCAGCAGCCAATCATAAGCCTTGCTGGTCAAAAGCCCTACCTAGCCCCACCCACCTCCTAAAAACATTTGGTGGGCACCAGGAAGGGTGTCGGCGGGTGCCATGGTGCCCATGGCCACCACGTTGGGGACCCCTGTTCTAAAGGGTAGAAATCCCATAACTATGTGACAGCCATCAACTGGATTTTTTTAAAGAAAAAAGGATTCTCTGAACCATTCAGTTTCATACGGTATGCAATTTACCAGTCTGATCACAGCATATGGATAATATCTTTTTTGAGATAAGATTATGATGCAACACAAGTGTAGATCATGGTACAGCCCAATTTCTTTAGGGTTTTATGGATTTTAACATGCCTATCAAGGAAGGAAGATGGAATGGTATTGCCAAGTCTCATCAGATCTTAAAAGCTAAGCAAGGTCGGTACTTGGAAGGGAGACCACCAAGGAAGACCCTGCAGAGGAAGGCAATGGCACACCACCTCTGCTTCTCACTTGCCTTGGAAGCCCCTTGCTGGGGTCACCATGAGTCAGCTGTGACTTGATGGCACTCTACACACACCCCACACCCCATGTATGTCTAATTCTGCTTAGAATACAATACACACTCTGCCATCAGGACTCAGGAAATATTATATACTAGTGAAAGCCTCTGAACAGTAGAAGAAGTTATAGTTCAGTGGGCTATTAATTTTTGGGCCTTCATACTTTTAGTCAGATGTTGGGTAATAAATGACTTTAATTAAGGAATATATTCCACACACACAACTACAGACAGACTCTTGCTTTGTAACTAAATGATGGGAAAACTTCTGACAACAGTTCTTCAGGCAAGACCCATTACGTTATGAATAAGAGCAAACAGTGCCTTATCTTCCTTATCTTAACCCTACAGTTATCTGAACAAAGTTTGGATGGTGAATTGTATAAAACAGAAATAATTAAATGTTTTATACCACTTAGAAGAACTCTGATTATGGCACCATCAGGAAGAAAAACTACGGGGAAAACAGCCAAACCAGCACAGGAGGATCCAGTTGTACATGCTTACAGCTTTGAAGAAAATCAAAAGAAACATCTGAGTGGCTCAGAAGAGGACCTTAGAGAAGGTGCAGTAGAATCAATATAAAACTATTTTCCTTCAGTTTTGTCTTTGAATAAGGAAGAGGCCTGGTGTCAAGGTAAACATCACCAAGCAGTTACTAGGAGCCTTGCACTGGTAGGGGTCGCAGTCTTTCCTGTGGGCCACGAAACTGCTGCTGGGTTGTGGCAGTTAAGCACATTAGAAGAGCCCTACTGGATCAGACCAGGGGTCCATCTAGTCCAGCATCCTGTCTCACACAGTGGCCATCCAGCTCCTCTGGACGGCCATCAACAGGGCATAGAGGCCGAGGCTTCCCCCATGTTTCCTCCTGGCTCTGGGATTCAGAGGGTTAGTGCTTCTGAATGTGGAGGTTCTTCTCAGTCACCATGGCTAGTAGCCATTGATAGATTCATGGAGGATAAGGCTATCTAATTCCCTTTTAAATCTGTTTATTCCTGTGGCCATCACTACATCCTCTGGCAGCGAATTCAACATTTTAATCACTCTGTGTAAAGTAGTATTTCCTTTTGTCCGTCCTGAACGTACTGCCCATCAGCTTCATTGGATATCCTGAGTCCTAGTATTTTGGGAGACGGAGAAAAAGTTCTTTTCCCATGCATAATTTTATAAATCTCAGTCTATCATGTCCCCCCTTAGTGATCTCTTTTCTAAACTGAAAAGTCCCAGACTCTTCAGCCTTTCCTCATTGCAAGCTCCCCTTTTCACTGAGCCTGTCCGATGACAGCAGTGCTTAGGCAAATTAAGAGTAGTTGTCATCACTGTGCTCATTCATTTATCTCCTTGTTCTCTTATTCCTGCCGGAC